GTTAATAAACTAAATAAAAAGAAAAGTAAAAAGAACTAGTATATTAAATATGTAAGCTATTACCTATATAAGTAGTTTAATTATAGAAATAAGTTTTTTAAAGGTGTAAAGGATCTTAGGTTAAAGGGTAGATTTTATAGAATTATATATAAATAAATAATATAATTTATTCTATTATTTTATATTATTATAACCAGTAGGGCTAAAGATTATAGTAATCCTAGTATATATTATAATAAAACTAGCTATTTATAAAGGATTAGTTACTATTGTAATAAACTGATATTAGTTACCTTAGTAAAGATAATACTTTTTATTAAAGAAGGATTAGAGATAAATACTATTATTATTAAGTACCTAGCTGTAAAGTAGTAGCTAATATATAAATATTTTACCTCTTTAGCTTTATTACTCCTCTTTTTAATCTAGGCTTTTAATAAATGAATTAAAATATATTATGTTAAATAATCTTAATTTATTAACTTTTTCTTTATAGTATTATATATATAAGATAAAATAACTGTTGCTGGTTATTTATTTATAGTATACTGCTATTTTAGTATTAGTAGTCTAATAGTTTTAAAATACTACTTTAGGGTAAGTTTGTTACTCCTAGGGGTATACTTAATAAGATATCCCTTAATTTTTTAATTAGTGGGCGGGCTAGTAGTTGCTTATATTTATTTAACTAAGCTATATAGTAAAATAATAAATATAATAATAATTACTTAGAATACTATTATTTATTTATAATTATAGAATAAATTAAAATATAATATATAATATAAAGATTTTAAATTTTATTTTTAATAATAGTAGTAAGTTTTTTCTTTTTTTTTAAATATTACTAAGCTATAGTATAGTACTTACTATATATACTAGTACTAGTATTACGCTTTATAAGCAAATACCTTTATAACCTTTAAATTTAAGTTAATATATAGATATAGAATTTAGGATAATTTTTTATTAATCTGGAATATTTAATCTAGGTTATCTTAAATAAATACGTAATTAATTATATAAAAGTATTAGGAGAAAAAAGTATAATTAAAATTAAATTTATTAGCTTATAATTCTGCCCTCTACTTAGGTATAAATGGAAATGAAAGTAAATATGTTAATAAGCTAATAAAGCTATTTACGTATAATAAAATACAATATATTCCTATGTTACTTACGATATATACTAGTATTAAATAAAGTTTACTTTTACTTACTATAGTATATAGAATTGTTTATTATAGTTATATAATAAGAGAATTTATAGATATACTCTTAAGTAAAACGGAGCCTTTTTACAAGTATAGTAAATGGGTGGGCAATTTCGTAAGTATTAGAATAGCTATAGCCTTTTTAAGCATAAGTAATAGACATTAGCTAATTAGCCTGCGCGTAATAAATAGGTAATACTGGAAATAACTGGCCTGTGCGTAATGTTGGCCTGCGCGTAATACACTGATAATTATTACAGCCTGACCCAAAGACAAGGTACATTAGGAATATACTACGGAAGAATACTTTACCCGAAGAACTAATTAACGCAGGAGCGATAAGCTTATCGTAAGCTACCTTAGACGGATCACTCGTAAAATGGTAATCCTATACTTAGGCTTACGATCCTAAGAGTAAGCTATTTAAAATAACTAAATATATAAGATTTAATTCTTTATGCTTTTTAGATAATATAAATAAATAGTCGTTAATAAAATATTAAAATTAAATATAAACTAAATCTTTATTATATTTTACTTACTTTATAATTACATCTGCTTAAAGCTACTTTTTATTCTTTTTGCTAATATAAACTAACTAACCTTAGCTTATTACCTTAGGAACTTACCTTATACTTTATAAGTATTAGGTCGGGATATTATAATAATACTAGTAATAACTGGCCTGTGCGTAATGTTGGCCTGCTTGTAATATACTGATAATACTGGTAATAACTGGCCTGCGCGTAATGTTGGCCTGCTTGTAATATACTGATAATACTGGTAATAACTGGCCTATACGTAATGTTGGCTTATGCGTAATATATTAATAATATTAGTAATAACTGGCCTATGTGTAATGTTGGCTTGTGTATAATATACTGGTAATTATTGTAATATTTATAATAACCTGGGCTAAATTTTCTAGCTTAACGAAATTAGCTAATATATTATATATACTCTATTGCTTAGCAGGATAGCAGAGACCTCTTTACCCTATTGCTGTAGGTAATATATTTTATCTTTGCCTAAGTTAAGGGTTAATTAATAGTATTTTATATTAAGTAGTATTTAAGGGGTATTATAAAATTATTATTAGATCTTTTTTAAAAAAATAAATATACTAAGAGTATTAGCTATATTTACTAAATTAGTATTAAAAATTTAGTAAGGTAATACTTTCTGCTGTAAATATATATTTATATTCTTACTTTATATTAATAAAGTACTAAGGTATATATAAGAAAAAGGCTATATTTTAGAAAATAGGAATCTGCTTTATAAAAATAATAATAGTAAGTATAATAAAAATTAGTAACTAAGACTACTAAATTATTATTTAAATAACTATAGAAATACTATAGACCTTTAAATTATATATAATAAGCTTCTTAAGGTTCCCCCTAGAGATTTTTATTATTTTAGTTAAATTTATAGAATAAAAAGAATTTATAATTCTTACTAAAGTATATAAATTATTATATTCTATTACTAATCTACTACTTTATTAATAAGATTATATTTAGGAGAAACTAAAAACCCTGTATTAGGCTGTAGAATATAGGGAAATAGGTATATATTAAAGAGCTTTAGATAAATAAAAGGATTTTAATTAAGCTATTAAAGAAGGTATAATAGCGTTATATTACGTAATATTTTATTATAAAGAAGTTATAAATAAAATAATAGCTTACTTTTTTAACTTAGGAGTATATTTAGACATTATTTATTATAATTTTATAAAAATACCTTTAGAGTTTATTTATAAGAATTAAAATTTTAAAGCTGCTATAGCTTTATTTTACGCTAGTGTAGTGCTTATAGAAGGCTTATTAATATAATACGTATTAAGTATTAAAATAAAAGATACAGAAGTTTATATTTTAAAAAAGTATATAAGAGAGTTTATAATCCTTTAAAGAACCTTAATTTAGGAACTTATTTATAAGGGAGCCTGTTTTAATTAGCGCCTATATAGCGAAGGATAGATTATATTAATATATATTATTTATAAGAGTAAAGTTTCTACAGTCTGACTTTTACTTAATTTAGGAGTTAACCTAAACTTAAGAGGCGGTTTTAATAAAATAGTATTAATATATTTTATTAAAAATTATAATATATAATATATTAAAATACTTATTAAAGCAGGTGTTAATGTTAATTTAGTTAATATTATTAAAACGCTAGCTTTATACTCCCTACCTTTATAAGTAATAAATAAGGATGTATATAGTAAAGATTTAGGTATTTTTTTAAAAAAAGTTATTTAAAATTAAAAAGGAGTTCTAGGATTTAGAATATAGTTTTATCTTAATATTTAAGTTAGTAATTTATAAAGCTTTATAAGGCTAATATTTTACCCTAGGTAGTCGAAGTTAGGATCTCAATCCATCGACGTATTGATCAGCACCATAAACCTCGGAGGGTCGTTGCTCACCTAGGCCAGTGATGGCGACTATGTTTTCAATACTCTGTGCAAAATTCTGGTTAAAAAAAAAAATTGTTGCGAATCAACGGTCAAAGTATTATGTCGCGTGGATATATCAGCATTTCCAATGCAAATCCTGTCCTGACAGAAGATCAGGACTGTGAAGAAAGCATCGAAAAGACTACTATTGATGCTACAATTACTTACAGATGGAGGAGTATTGTGTGGGTTTCGATTATTATCTTTGCAACGGGTGTACCACTATTGCTCCTACTACTACTTCATGAAGAGAATCGACATGAGTTCATCCTCCCAAACGGCTAAACACTTTGCGAAACCCGAACATTGTTGGCCAAGTTGACCTAACGGTTTAATAATGATCGTGAAATACAGCACACCCGTGACGTTCCAGCCAAATTATCTCTATTGGAACGTGTCCAGCGCCGAGTCAGCTCGCGCGTGGGAACTTGTCAGTGAGTAATACCCAGTGTGCAGCACAAAGCGTTCACCGTGACCAGTGGGAATGCTGACGAAGAGCTTCATTGGTGTAGATCACCATGGGGAAATTTTCTTATCACATTCGAAGAGATATAATCTCCCACCGGGAATTGAGAGAGCAAATGGTTATCAGTCGTATCCGTTGTCAGCTTTTCATCAATTACATTGCCTAGTAAGCAACACTAATAGCATGCTCAACATTCTATGGCCACTCATACTTTATTCTTCTAGAAGATGATCAGAAAACATTATACGTCGTTGTTCAACAAAGTCGCATTGAATGATCCTGTGGATAATCATGTTGAGCATTGCTTTGACTATCTGCGTCAGTCCATCATGTGTGCAGCAGACATGACGATTGAGAAAGCGCGAGTTGATCCTGATGGTCACCGAAGAGCAGTAGACGGATGGGAGACAACACACCAGTGCAGAGACTGGGGAAAAGTTCTGGAAGTAGTGCGACCCTTTGGTTGTAGCAATTGTAAATAGTAGGAAGAATCATGTAGATGAATATAACTGAGAAGCAACCATTGTAGAACCTGGAAGAGCAAAACATCGAGTGATGTGGAGTAAGATGGCCTACGCTTACAGTACTTGTCTAGAGCTCTCAGAGCAACTGTGCACCAGTAAAAGAGAATGGAAAAGATGAATGCAGAAAGCAATCCAGCTACTATTTAGCGCAGTGGAGACAGGCAGAGGGTATAAATGTCCAAGGCTGCCTGGTGCTATCCCAGGCCACGGCTCGGTTATATTCGTCAATTTTTATCGTGAAAAGGTTGATACCATTTTTTTTTCTTAAACATTCAAATCTTATTCAAATTTGCCTCTACTCGTTTGCTTCTACTTGTTTTACGGCCATGGCTTACAAGGACATATCCGAGGAAAATATTGCGATGGATGAAGAGCAGCATGTTCCATTTCTATCACCTATAGATCATCCGGGCCGTACATCTGAGAATACAAAGCAAAATATTCGACCAGATTATTTGAAGATAGCCATGTATGGACTGCTTGGTTTATCTGCAATGTTAACTATCGGCGGTTTAAGGTCAAAGCCTACGTTTGAAGGATGCGTGAAACATTTACATGAGTGGTGTAAGTGTTCATGATAGACCCTACATCAGTGGAACAACAATAACGTAATTGATGTCATCTATAAATAGCGCCAATGTTGGAAGCCTTTGAATATGATGCCAGACCGAGAATCCGAATGACTTCAAATTTTATATACATGGGGCATCCTACATCCGTTCTTGAACAAGCCTGGGACAGTCTTTGGCAATGTGAGCCCTTTCACCCTCTTACTATTTACACTCTTACATCTGACGTTTTATTCTAGTCGGATCATTCGGGTTGCCAGAAGAACAACTTCCGCTACTCCATAAATCCAGCACAGAACATGATTGGCACCATCTGCCGGAGGCAGGCGGTGGAGGTATTCAAGCTTATGTTGAAGGCTTCCATTACATTCACTGCTTGGTATGGAGCATTCAGTTTGTAATCGACACTACTGAGAAACTGCTAATGATCTTAGAACCTCGTACGTCAGTTCACGTACCGGAATGAGTATGATTATAGCGATATTCATGCTTTCAATAACCCTCATATGGACATTATGGACCACGTTGAGCACTGTTTGGAAATGCTCAGAGTGAAAATAATGTGTAATGCAGATTTATCCATTTACCCGGTATCAAGAGACACAAGCGATGACAAGACGATTCATGTTGAGAGGCAAAGACAGGTGTGCCCGAATTTTGAGAGATTAGTCAAATGGGCAGATGATCGCATTACTGTGCCATTCCGACAGATTTACAGACGGAGCTTCTTCGGCTTACAGGACCCTGGCTAATAGGGTAAGTAAGGTAAGCATTACTACTATAAGCTTACCCTTAAGCATATACTCAGGGGTAATTAGGGTAAGAGCTAGGTAACGTACTTAATATTATACAGATAAGCGTAGTAAATCCCTTAAGGAACTACCTAAATTAAACTAAAGAATATACAGTGCTTATTAAATTTTACCGTATATCTAAGTACGTACCTTAAAAATTCCACAGCCTAGCTAATAAAACCAGTAAATAACACCCTAGTACTACATATATTAATAAAAAATAAATAAAAAAAGACCTAAAGGTATATATTATACAGCAGCATTATGTATTTAAACAGCTAATTAATAAATAAGTATACTAAATTAACTATTAAATACTTTTTAATAAAACAGTTATAAGGTAGATTATAAAAGGTTTTTTAATAAGTAGTATTAAAATATAATTATAAAAAAACTAATAATAAAAGCTTTAATAAAAGTAAAGTAAAAGATAAAAAATACTAAATAAAGTATATCCTTACGTATATATATATTACTTTATCTCTTAAGCTAAGTATTAATTTAAAAACTACTATTAAAAAAGGTATTTATATATTAGTAATTAAAGAATTTAATAAAAGATAATTTTAGTTTTAATAAAGGATAAATTAGTAATAGTAAGCTTTATTATTTATATAATTATAAAAGTAACTATTTTAAATATAAAAAATTAATAAACTAGAATATTCCTAAGCGGATAATAATATAGTGGATAATAATATAGCGGATAATAATATAGTGGATAATAATATAGCGGATAATAATATAGTGGATAGTAATATTACAGATAGTAATATATAATATATTAATTAAGGATACTATGTTAGATAGGAACTATTAGATAGTTAACTAAACTAGCTAAGGATATATAGGTATATAAGTATAATATAAAGGGAACTGTATATAATATTATAATTATCTTAAAAATAAAAAAAAAGTATAAAAGTATACAGTAAGTTATATAAATTATAATAAATAAATAAATTAATTAATTAGTAATACCTTTAGTAAATTTATATTAGGGAATTTACCTTATACTCTAAAGTAGCTTTAATATTTAACTAGTATAAAGTAAATTTAATTAGCTTAGCTACAGAGTTTTACTATCTTAACTAATACTAGTATTTTATTAATTAGGCAGCTACCTATAAAATAAAGTATTAAGTACCTATAAGTAATAAATACTAAAATATTAACTTAGATATTAGGCCTAAATACACTTACTATTATATAAAATACTTAATTATTTATACGTCAGTTGAATTTAGTTTATAACTTATTAAAAAACTTCTATATTAAGCAGCCAAGTACTTTATATTTTAATAAAGTAATGTAATATATCGCTAATATAAGTCAGCCTTTAAGAATAAATCTTTCTAATAAGCTTAAGGTAATTACTCTAATACTTTAAATATACTTATATATATATTTAACTATATTATTAATATTAATAAAAATAAAAAATATTAAATTTTTAATAATATATAAATTATAATATACTATCTTTTTTTACTCCTTTACTAATCTACCTTACTAGTAATTATATATATTATACTCCCTAAATAAAATAAAATATAAAATAAAGTAATAGATATTTATTTAAATAATACTTCTGCTAAATCTTACCTAATATCCTTTATTAATATTTTTTTAAAAATATTCTAATACTTACTTTCTTTAATTACCCTAATTAGAAAATCTACATTAGTAAATAGTAAAAAATATCTACCCTTATATCTTACTATATTAAGATAATATATTTTATACGCTAAAGCTTTATTTTCTAAAGATTTAGTCTCTAAGAAGGTTATCTCTTAATATAAAAGTAAAGTTACTGTAAATTTTAACTAAAATATTTTCTTTATAAGCTTCTTAGCTTTATTTAATAGTAAGATTCCTAAAATGAATTCTACCGGAAGTTCTATATTAATAAATAAAAAAATTTTCCTATTTTTACAGCTGGCTGCTTTAATATAACGAATTTATAATACTTTCTATTTCTTTATTTATATAAAGTAACGCAGAGATATAATATTATTAAAAACTAAGGAAATAATTTTTATTAACTAAATTTATAAAAGGAATTATATAGCTTACTTTCTTAAAGGGTTAGCAGGTTATATTTATCTTTATCTATACTATCCTAGTTATTATCTTCCCTCCTAAAGCTTAACGGGAGCTATATAATAACTAGTATTATATATATTTATTAATTATATAAAGTAAAAGAAAAGATTTAGTAAAATATAAAAAAGTTTTACGTATAAATAAAAATATTATATATAAAATACTAAAGAAAGAAAAACAGCCTATAGAAAATAGGATATATAACTTTTTATATACTTAAAAAGGAGTAACCCCTTCTACTTTATAATTTATAATACCTTTTCATAAATACGTAATTTAAATATAAAGCGTAATTATATAAAGATCCCCCCTTTTATCTTAATTATAGAAGATAAAAGTACTATTAGGGAAGGTTCTAGGATATTTAAATAATATATTAAAGAATATTATATATAATTTTAGTATTAGCTATGACTCTGTAAATAGCTTCTGCTACTAGTAAAATAAAGGTTACTTCTATAAGCATAAGTTACTAGCGTAACTGTAATCCTAAGAGCAAATAAGTAACTAAACTACTAGTACTTCTGGTCCTTAATACGCAGCTGTAGATCTCGTAAAATTATCTCTAACTCTATATTACCCTAAGGCAGGTCCTAATCCTCTAATTCTATAAGCTACTTAAAAAAGTTATTTAAATTATACTCAGCCTTATTTAGCACTTTTATTACCTTTATAATACAAAGCTTTTTAACATTATTAAAGTACTCTATAATTAAGTCTAGGTACGGAGTGTGGCTCAGCACAAAAGTTCCGCAGTTATCTCATTCTAGTAACTTGGATATATCTAGATGACGCTAGTAAATCCTCCTCGTCCTCGTATGCATGTGAATGCATGTTGGTTGGCCAAAGTACGTTTACACTAGTCAGGGTGCGACCAACAACAAGGTCACATTTGTCATGTGTGGTCATATATTCGTGTACGATCACAAACTTGCGGCATTTTCCCCAGCGGGGAAAAGAAGCGAAGGTATGGATTCAAGGCTATGTGAAAACTAGAGATAGTCTTTTTAAACATACAAACTCTTAAAGAATTGGTGAAAGAGTGTTGGGACTTTGACTTACTCTACCTCAACCTGACCATTCTACCACCTTACCTAGTCCGCCAATCTCAGAAGAAGAAAATGGACGATGAAAAGGAATCATTGGAATTACTTTCTGAATCTGACCGTTTTATTCCAAGGCCTTTATCGGATCCCAGACAACGACTTCTACCATGGATAGCAAGTACAGGAGTGCTTGCTTTCATTTCACTTAGCCTTATAGCGTACACATGGGTTCTAAAGCCTACCTAGTTTCCAGAATGGAAACAGTCTGATTTTCGTGAGTATTCTTACTTAATATATAGTCACGCTGATTTTGACTCAAGCGAACAAGCCGCTGCGAGAGAGTCGATTGAGTATCACCACGTTCGATTTCACGGAAATGCAGAGTACGACGAAAATGGCCAATCTTTTATCCCAAATCCTTCCCCAATCGACTACATAGGGCCACCAAGTCCCGCGGTCGATGACGCATGGCGTAATCTCACCGGAGGTGAGTGTTTACCTATAATCTTCACGACCTGAGTCTTACTTTGCGTCATAGAGAGAGACTTTATGATTACAAAAGACGAGGCACGAGCGCTTTGGCCAGACGAATATGAGATTCATTGGCATCATAGAAAAGGAGGGTACACTGTGGGACTTGACGTCTTTCATACTCTACATTGTCTAGTAAGTACTTCTTTTCTACTAACGAAATCCCACCGTTCTTGGTCCCATGTCAACGACTAACTGTTTAACCCACTCAGGATAACCTTCGAAAATATTACTATCCTGAATATTATTCAATCGATCCCGAACACAAAGAAGCAGCATTGAAACATAGAGGTATATCCACCCCTTTGCACACCATATCCGCACTATAGTGGAATGAGCTGATCTTAGTTGGTATACTTGCAGGCCATTGCATCGATCAAATTCGCCAGTATATCATGTGTGCCGGGGATATGACCGCCCACGGGACTCGATACTACACAAACCCAGGGCGCAACTACGCCGACTCAGATGTTGTTCATACTTGTCGGAATTTTGACAAACTGAGAGAGTGGACGAGAAACCGATACCATGCCGGTGGCAAGCTTCATCTACCAGATGTTGATGTCTGGGAGCATTGGAGAGGAGAGACTCAAGTGTTCCAAGAGTGAGGAGCCAGTGGCGATAATTTACTTAACTTCGGGGTTCAAATATGTAAACTCATCAACCCTTTTGATACATAATAGTCTTCTACTTATATCTTTCACTTCTAAATCTTCGTTACATTGATGTACTAGTAAAACATGCCTTCTCTACCCAAGTAGTGAAACGTTCACATGTATCCTCCACGGCCGTCTTGAATATGTCAGAGAGCCAGATTAGGACAACCCGGTTACAACCATACCGAGCCCAAATCCAAGCTGATAGTGGAAAACTGAGTCTGTTCCGGTAAATTGCCAGAAGAACGGAACAGTAAAATACCCAAAGATATGTAATATTGGCTCATGTATGAGGTACATGGAGAAAGATATATTACCAAAGTATTGTGCTGTAGCAGAGCTTAAAGGAACTTGAAGGTGTCTTTGCCGAGATAGTGCCCATAGAATGTTAGAAGCAGCAATATCATGCCAGTATCGATAATTGGGGGTAATGGCGCACAGAAACTGATAGCCAAGGACGCAGTCTGTTGCCTGGTTGTGTCGGGGAAACGATCCAATGTATAGGCCCAACAGTAGCAATAGAAAATCCAATATGTCTCCAAGATAACCCAGAGAGTGGTGATTCTTGGTGTTTTTGGATTGGGGAAGTGTGTCTGCTGAACGAGAAAGACTAAGTTGGGATAACACCATCCCAGCCAAGAAAGGTGCGATATCCCAGCGGCCTTGCATAATGGCATATGCCATTTGGCCGCAAAGTATACACAATCGGACATTCGGCCTCACGCGTGCGAGCATGAGGCACAAAAGAAACACAACCAATGATCCCTTGTATGATATTGGTATTGTCCAGAGATGAGGGCCGTACTCTAGGCGTGGGACATCCCATCGCCATGGATTAACCAGCTCATCAGTCACGAACTTTGTCCAGCGAAGAAACTGAAGCCAAAATGAACTCTGAACTACAGGATGAACTGGTCGCCTACCCGGCATATCGGAATATGGAAAGGAAAACCTCCCGAGCTGGGCAAGTACCATGACAAAAAAGGTTGTAATAATAGGTGGAGAAAAGAGACGAATTGCTCTCCGAAAAGTCGACTTTGACAAACTCAGAAAAAGAGCCTCATATGCTGCTACTTGAGACAGCTTGAATGTTTTGATAGAGAGGAGAGGACAAAGCCGGAAACAATGAAGAACATGGGCACCAATGGACCAGCATACATGAGGCGTAAGATTGGCAAGCGAAGTATTCCATAGTAATTCTCATATCCATAGCCGTAATCCATATGCTTTTGCCACGGAAGAGAGAAATGGCGGACAAAAATCAGGATAGAGATGAGACCTCTTAAGCCATCTAGATAGCTTGTTGTGTGTATATTCTTTGTAGAAGTCGGGCGATAAGTTGAATCGGACTGTAACCAGCTTGGCAAAAGCAATACGCCTAGCTTGACCATTGCCCGATAGATGTGTTGAAAGAAATGGAAGGCACAGTACTTGGCTTTTTGGCGAGTAGTGCCAAATCTCTCCATATCGTTGTCCATATTCTTCTTTTTTTTTACTATGGCAATCTCAGGGTTGAGAAAAATAGAGTACACAATCCCATGAGACCTCGCTTGCTATAGAAGCATCGTACTTTTGCATACTTTTTACCAACATGGGAAACAAACGAAAGCCTAGTTTGTTGATTCTATCCCACTAATCAACATTTTACTTTTGTCTTTGTTGCCTTAATATTCGTCATCGATATAATTCTGACATGTCGTCTTAATTGCAGAGAAGCTGTTGGTGATACTTTGATCTACTTGTATTTACTAGCGCCAACATGCATAAGTCTTCTGGCGAACTTTTGCTTTCGGCTCAGGATTGAGGTAGAAGCAGAGTGAAGATCCTCATCGGCTGTTAAAGGAAGGAAGAAACAAAAGTGCCGCTATCTATGCGATAAGGCGCAAAAGTCATCAGGCGCGATATCGCTCAGTCATGACAACAGGTTGCTGTCTCGCTCACGAATGCTGTAACGTTCATGTACCCACTTCATAAAAGGCGGAAGGCATTTTAGCAACCTGTTGATGAATAAGTTTTATTTGTATGACCATTGGCTTATAACAATATTGAGAGGTACTGAAGTAGCCCATATCCGAATCATGCTGGAATTAGGTATAAAAGGTTGGTGCATTTTCTTCTTATCTACCAGCAGTGCTACTATCTTCCAACTTGAAGAATCTAAACTTTACATCAATTTGGACACCATATCAATACTATAGTCTGCTATGTTATTCACCAAAGCAATAGTTGGCCTACTGGCTACAGCGTATATCACAGCCGCTGTTGCTATCCCAGCCCGGGGTAAGTAGACACTATAATGCGTGAAGTTGAGTCAGTGTTAACTTTTGCACACATATCTAGGTGCTTTGGATCTTGCTGGACGCTCAATTGATGTAGTTGAGGCTAGCTTCAGAAAGCGTTACGAGGGTGATGACGAGGGAGATGGTGGTCGTAAGGGAGAAAAAGTGAAACGGTATGAGGGTGATGACGAAGGAGATGGTGGCCGCAAAGGCGAAAAGGTGAAGCGTTACGAAGGTGACGACGAAGGGGATGGTGGCCGTAAGGGCGAGAAAGTGAAGAGATATGAGGGTGATGATGAAGGAGATGGCGACCGTAAAGGTGAAAGGTGAAGCGGTATAACGGTCATCATGATAGTGTGTAGTCTATAGGCATCGCTAATTACCCAGCTTAGAAGTATATCTTCCTAGAATTCAGCGTAGGCAGTCTTGTCGATAAACAACTGTTCTACATCCATATCGCAATATAGATAAAGATGTTGATTCATTAGAGATTGGCATGCATTATACAGATGTGAAGCTGATGTCGCACCTACAACAGACCATACGTTGCATCTGAAACCACTTACACCGTCCTTAAAGTCCCTTTAGAGCATCTGTTAGCATCTACAATACGAGAAAGCAGTATGCGTCATTAAATTTAGGAAACTACCTTTATCAATTCTGGAGCATGATCCTGCGAAAACTTGACTGATTTTGTTACCAAGCTATTCAATGATCCAACATGTTTGAGAGTCTGTATCACTAGTCTAAGCACGAGATGTAGTCAGTCACACGTTGGCAGTTAGCCGGATACCAAGATGCCGGATATCCGCCGGCATTACGATGCCGGGCCACCCTGATTTCCCCAGGCCTTTTGTAGTATTGAATTCCTTCAGTGTAACATGCTGTTGGTTCGAGCCCTGGAGGCGATATGGACCAGAATCTCCACCCCCACTAGGATTAATGTTCCGAAGGAGCAATCCCCAAGCCAGTATACAGGTTGTTCGAACTTCTGCGTTATGTTGAATGGACATCAAAAATTGTCATCACTCTTTTACTGATTCGGCAATTTTACGACAGGGCTACAATGTGGCGAATTAAACGCTCATTACAAAATATGTCGTTATTGGAGAAAGATTATGCGCCCTTGGGCAGAGCGTCAATAGAAGATTCTACGAAGAGCGAAATTGATGATGGTATAGAGCTAGAAGAAGTTCATTTACGCTCAAGGCGATGGACACAATCACTACCTTTTCAAGCTTTACCGTGGATTCTGACCTTGGTATTTATGGCCATCTCTTTCGCTCAATATGAACTCAGAGACAAGTCTTGTCAATCTGAAGAATATTCTCTACTTCGCCCAACCGATTTCAGTGCGTACCTTGATGCGGCATAGAAGTGCTATAGAAACTGACCATCCGATATGATAGAGTCCGCATCATCAGAGATTGAGTTGGAGATAGTGACATTTACTGGAGCTCCTGTCTTTATGGAGAATGGCACGTTCCACGTACCAAATCCAGGGAAAACAACATACACTGGGCCCCCTTCTCCCGAGATTGACGACGCATGGGAAGAAATCACAGCTGGCAAGTCAAAAAGAAAAATGCGATTTGGGTTAAATTCTTATAATGAGTATTGCTTACTGTGATGTAGGAAGATATTTTCGAATCACTGCTGAAGAAGCCATCGAGGCGTTTGGAAGTGCCTCGGATGTATATTGGAACGACAAAGTGGGTGGTTATATGGCAGGGTATGTGCTCTTTAACAGCTGAACATTTATCGAGTTGTACTGATCGTTCTAGAATTGACATGTTCCATGCTCTACATTGCTTGGTACGCTTAACTTTATCCGGATTCCATATTTCTCAGCCAATTTGAAGGAGTCTAATGTAGTGATTAGAACCGGCTGCGGCAATCATTTTGGCCGGAGTACTATCCACCATCTACGCATCCAAATACAATCATCCACCAAGGTATGCGCAGCTGATTTAACCGTAGCGTTTAAAGAATTGCATGATTCACTAACAGGGTTTGCTTGCCATTTAGAACATTGTATCGATCATATTCGACAAATGCTGATGTGCTCCGGAGACATGACCTTAATACCTACAGAATGGACGGATTACTTAGAAAGAAACTACGTAAACTCTGATGTTCCGCATACATGCCGGAATTTCGCGAAACTTCGAGATTGGGTCGTCTCACGGCACAATGGATCAACCATGGTCCCTGAGTCGTCGGTGAAGCATCATGGAAAACCCCAAGATCAATAGTGGCTATAAGAGACGAGAGCCTACTGTCGAGGGAGGAAACCACAACACAGGGCGCCCGTAATAAGGCTGCAAAGGAATTGATAGCAGGTATCAAGACCAAATGTATTCGTAACTGCATGTACTCCGTATATATCGGGTATTCTAGAATTTTGTTTGCGCCCTGCTCGTCTATGCCGCAGTCAAGATTGTTGTCAAAGCGCCCGCTCCCATTGCGAATGCCACTGTCCGTATTTACATCGTCACCCCCTAGACCTCGTTTACAGCCTCCTTCAGGTCCTTGACGTCTATTTGCCCTTCTTTTGCTTTTGCGTTTCCAGGGTGGCGGCTGCCCTTGTCCTTGACCTTCTTCTCCTTCTTTGCTGGTGGGGGGTAGGCCTTGATGGCAATCTCCTGCCATTCTTTTGACGATTGGAACTCTGCCTGGATGGGGGCCAGCAGCTCGTTTAGTGATTTCGTGACGGCCGCCTTGAGAATTTGTGGTGACAGCTATTGAAATGGTCAGTAATTGTACAGATTATAAAAACCGACAGTGGAAATCGTTCGACTCATACGTACCACGTCATTTCTGTAATCTTCGTGCATCTGAGCGATGCTGCTGTAAACCAATGGCTCCAGACCATCTCTCTCGCGGTCGACGACAAACTCTCGCTTTCCACGCAGAGCTGCTACCGGCAGCAAAACGTATTCGACAAAGGCCAGGATGCCATTCTCCTCAACCACCTTGGGGGTGGCAACGGCCTTGCGGATCTTCTTGGCGACGACATCGGGGGCATCCAAGAGGTCGATTTTGCTGTCTGTTTATCACGTATCAGTGTCAAGTCGTTTGAGCTCTCGTTATGCAACTAGAGGGTCCCTTACCTTCGTCACTGGAGCTCATCTTGGCGCCCTTGAGGCCAGGAACCATGGGGTTCATCAAGTGGCATCGCTACAGTATGTTTATTAGAGACAATTCGATGCGAGCAGTGATCGGATAATTCGTTGGCTCACCTCCTTGTATCCCAGCTTGGGCAGCCAGTCCTTGGCGGCGATGAACAGTTTGCGCTGATCAAGACCACCAAACTGAGCATCCACATCCAGGTACTGCTCATCAAGAACCTGCAAGCGTACTAAATCAGCACAAAGATCCGCCACACATAAATGCCATGACCACGACGCCACCACCTACCTGGAGAATGGGGTAAAGCAGACCAGACAGAGGCGCATTGTCCGTCTGCTTGACCACTTCAGCACCGGCCCTCTTGGCATCGTGCTCTGAGATGACAGACGACAGCTTGTAGACGTCCATGATGTATTCGGGGCTCTTCTGGTACGAGCTGCCCTGCACAAACTTGAGCTTCTCGGTCGACACGCCGACAGCCTTGAAGATGGCGGTGATGACGAATCGGTAGAACTCGACTCGCAGCTCAACCAGCTCGATGGGCGCTTTGAGGTTGTCGAGGAAGCCGTGGATATCGGCGAGGAGGATCGTCACATGGCAGCCGGCGGCGAGGTACTGGGCAATCTTGATGGCGGGAACAAAGTAGCCGCAGTGAGGACGGCCGGTTGTCGCGGTGCCTAATGAGAAATGTCAATTGTTAGCAATCACATTAAGCATCTCGTCTCCCATCTATCCAATCCAAACATACCCCAGTAAATCTTGGGATGGCGGCCCTCGTCCAGGATCTTCTCGATAATCTCCGGGTTCAGAATCTCGGCAAGATTCTCGCGGATGAGCGCGAGCTTCTCGGATGCGTCTGCGGCGGCCATGGCGCTTCCCCTTGTGAATTCCTTCAAGTACCTGGTTTGATGCTTCTGATTTCTCTCGTTTGCGGTGGTTGGTGATGCAATTCGCAAGTGTCGCCTGTTATCCAACTTTTTTTTATCGAACCTACCAAAATGTCCTTTTATCGCGGGGCAGATTGACTCACTCAGAATGAATGGCGGGGTGGTTTTTTGCGACTCGGCGATTCATCGGACCGCAGCGCAGGTACATGCCAAAAGTATCTTTCTTTACGCACCAACTGTGCGTATGTAATTAGGATTAGTCAGCACAGCAATCTTCAACTCTTTCCTCATTGGGCATTTTGAAGACGCCGTGTCTCGCAGCATTTCGGCATCCGCGGTATCCGGAATACAGCAGTTGATTGCAATGACTCTGCATCGGTTCATCTAATATATTTCTCTTCCTATAACGGATCACTTATAATTCACATCAGTCTACGTTCATCATGTCTCCGTTTCCTTTGTCTCCTTTGGTCTACTATATGCTAGGCGGACACTCGATTTAGATGACTACAGGGTAACAAATGAGCATCTTCCTCTCACCACTCAAGTTCCGAATTCGATTGAACCACCGCAATTGGATAAGGAACATCAGATGATTATGATGTAATCAAGAGTACTGTTAGTGACAAACTGATGGGACTCTGTATACAGCTGTACGTATACAGCCCACTGGTAATTACCTTGGTAAGTTGTTCAACGGCATATCGCCAATTCCTTCTTCCCCCTTTGCCACCTCCCCAGGTTCTCCATTACAGCACAGCTGCCGAAGTATCTGCCGCCTTAGTCACTCAAATTAGCTAATGGCGTAGTATTTTCCATGCCGGCATCGTTTTAACCTCACATGGTACTCCATACACTTCATTCCTATTCGCTTTGTGTGATGCCTTATTCTTCAGCTGTGGGACGCTTCCGGTAACAATCCGGCTTTAAAAAGTAAACTCGGTTCTTGATTACTATTTCATAATGTGGAGGTAAACCGAGGCCGAGAGATGTATATAACTTGCTTTGAGCAAACGGATATTAATCAATCGTCTCGTCTATAAACCTCACTGTAATCGATTCACATCCTTGATAAAATTTCGGCTACCGAGCCTTACTTATTATCTACTCTGCTGCCATTGCTACCTTTACTCAAGCCATGGCCCCTGGAAATCACGAGTTCCTCGTAGAGGCCGAGTCCTTTGACGACTTCGGCGGCTGGGTCTTGGATTCCCAATTCGAGCTGGAGATGGGGTCACCGTACCTTCTAGCTCATGGCAACGGGACACCAGTGACTGATGCTACAACCACAGTCCAAGTATCACAATCCGGCAATTACAATATATGGGTTCGTGCCAAGGACTGGGTTCCTGATCACCATCCGGGGCGATTCAACGTTGCTATCAATGGACGTGTCCTCGATACAACCTTTGGAGAGAATAATAAAGATTGGAGCTGGCAATCCGGAGGCCAGATAGAGCTTTCTTCTGGCTCACTAAAGCTTGCGCTACATGACTTGACCGGATTCTGTGGTCGCTGCGACGCTCTTTTCTTCAGCACCGCCGATGCTCCTCCTCCCGAGGCGGCAGATGAGGCACAACGCTTATGGAGAAGGCGGCTAAGGGGACTTCCAAATGAGCCAGTCGATGCAGGAACCTTTGATGTCATCGTAGTAGGAGGCGGAGTGCCCGGCATCACTGCTGCTCTAGCATCGGCACGTTTGGGCGAACGTGTGGCCCTGGTTCACGATCGTCCGTTTTTGGGTGGCAACGCAAGTCCAGAAATTGGACTACGCCCACGAGGAAAAGTCGGTCGGCTTGTCGATGAAATTTATGAGCGTCGTGAGAATGGTGATCTAATTGCGCTTCAAATACTCCAGGCCGAGTCTAATGCAACGGTCTTTACGGAGTATACAGTTTATTCAGCAGCAACCGCTAAAGGAAGGATTACTTCAATCGATGCCCGTGATGCTCGGAGCGGACGTGAAGTTCGCCTCTCTGCATCCACCTTTATAGACTCTTCAGGAAAAGCCATTCTTGGAATCTACACAGGAGCAGAGACCTTGTTTGGACGCGAGTCTAGGGACCAATACGGCGAAAGTCTGGCACCTTTACAAGGTGACCAGGCACATCACGGCAACACGTTATTCTTTCGTACCAAAATGGCGTCATCGCCAGTTTCCTTTCCAGCCGTTCCCTGGGCCACAGCGGTATCCAAAGAGTTCTCCAACCTCTCAGGCCAACTTGTCAAGTATGGAGAGGAGAACGGCCAGGGTCCTCGTATCGAAGACGGTGTTGGCCCAACATCTCGCCCACGCATGCGGAAAGAAATGACGCACTATTGGGAATATGGTCAATTCCTCGATCCATATAAGAACGGAGAGCTTATTCGTGACCATCTCCTGCGTGCCATTTACGGCACATTCTCCAATGTCAAGAGGTTTGAGCCCGAAAAGTATGCCAATCTTGCGCTAGATTTGGTTGCTTTTGTGCCCGCACAGGGAGAATTCAGGAGATACAAGGGCGATTATGTTCTTACGGAAAACGATGTTCGTAATCACAAAACGTTTCCCGATGCCGTTGTGCAAAACGAAGGAGCATTTTGTCTCCATATCCCTGGTAACAAAGACTATGACTTCCGGCTTCAAGACTGGGAATGGGATGAGCGGGATGGAAAGCCTTACGACATTCCGTTTCGCTGTCTCTACTCTGCAAATATCGACAACCTGATGATGGCGGGGAAGCATATTAGCGTAACCCACGTTGCTTCATCAAACACAAAGTTTATGGGCAACGGAGGGCAACACGCCGTTGCTGTTGCGGCAGCTGCCCGGCTATGCAAAAAATATAAGACAACGCCTCGAGGTATCTGTGAGAAGCATATAGATGAGATGAAGGATTTGATTAACAGAGTCTCGGAAGGCGATGCTCTGATTCGCTCAAGTCACTTGTAGATTTACTCTATACATGTGTTATATGAGGTATACTGTCTGCCACTGAGTGATACTGATCCAAGCGTTAAGAAAATGTATTTATATGTACCGTCTTGGATAGTCATCGACGTCTTCTGTGTTGAGGTATTGGAATAGGAAGCTCGTTCGAATGTAATTTTGTTTGATCTATAAGCATTTATCAGCCACGGCAGCACGTCTTCCAATCACGGGGTTTGCTATTCAAGTAGCTTAGAAGCTCAAAGTCAACTGCCATCGTATTTAAGTTGAGAAGCGTCACTCTTTCTTGTAGTCTCGGCAGATCATGAGACCCATTAAGCTAAGTGATCTCGATATATCAGGCAGATAATTTACTGAGAAACTGGGAAAACTATTAGGAATTATAGTCAAGAGAAACCATAAGCTCACCACTCCGTTATACTTTACATCTCTATGCGCTTCGTTTAGGGAACTGAAAAAGCAACATCGGAAATACGGAAAGATACCTTTCACGGAAAGATGCCTTTAACGGAAAGATACTTTGCTGCCATCATCTAATCTCTGATTGGGTAGATGAACTCATCCATCTAGGCCAGGGGAATAGGAATGCCAGCGCGACAAGGATCAGGCTAGAAGAGGTAACGGTCAGGCAGCAGGTCATCGTATGTCGTGGAACTATAATCTATAAACCTAGAACAACCCACATTAGGAAGCTCTTGTGAGCATTGGTAGGGCAGTAATAGGAACTAGCAGAACGAAGGGGTGCTAGAGGTGTAGCCGGAATAATTACGCATTATTAGTTGCGGAATGAAAGACTACTTGTATGGATCGGACTTTCGGCGCGTTGCCGCTTTTCCGGGGCCTCTTAGTGCACACGTGTGGAAGCAAACCTCCGAAATGGGCGGAGTTAGTATCCAAAGAAGAGAGATTCGGAAAAGCAGAAACTCTTATATATCTCCGTGGCTAGTAGTTGAGCTTTTCCGGAATTCCGAAGCAGGTTTAGAAGGGGGCGATGCAGCTAAAGTGGCTGTGTTCCTTGCTAGAACTGGAAATGATGGTAGGATCAGGTTGCCGTTCTGGCAGGGTGCCAAAAAGGGTCTAAGATGCGAAGGTGCCAAAGTAGTAGACATAGAACACTTATACCAAGGTAAGGTAGGAAGGCAAGATTCCTGGAGAAATGTCTAAAGAGTAAAGATATCACGGTGATCTATCTAAAAAGACGGATAGATACTCAATTTCGATGTTTGCCCTATCTAATTCCTTGTAGCTATGACTTTGGGAACAGAAGCAGAATGTTTCCTGAGATACTAAGAGAGTAGAGAGAGATATTTGGCACCTCGATGATACTTCATTGGCACCATGTCATATTTTGGAACCATCCCAGCAGGGGTTTCGAGAATTCCGCACTGCACCATCCCTGAGCATGCTATGGGTTTCCACCAATTACAGCAGCAGAAGACCGACAAATCTACTTGCAGCTAGCCATCCTCAATAACACTGCTTGTTTCGACACCCATTGTCCGGCTTTCGCTTGCGTAAAGCATAACAAGTGCTGCGATTAAAGGGCAGAATTGAGCTGCTGCCTGGTAGTAATAAATGCCAAGATTACCATTACCTTACTCGGGCAATTATGCAGCTAGGTTAGCTCAGCATCCTGAGTTTAGGAACATGGGGTGTAAGTAGTCTCAACTAGCAGGTAGTACAACCAGGAGTAAGCCAGGCGTCACAAATTAATAGACAATTCTTTTCCGTCTCTACCTATCTCTGGATTTTATATACATTCGGTTTTAGTTAGGGCTAGATTCACACGCCCACTATTACTGTTTCTTATGCGCATTGTGCCTTGTTATCACGCACTTAGAGAACGAATGGCACATCACCCCACGAGTTAAATGTGCTTGAAGCACTGCCCTTTGGACCTGTGGCAAGAACATCGAAAGGATGTTGAGGGGCACTCTCGTCGCTGGCCAACCACGAGCCGGTATAGAGAGTGTAGTTGGTCCCTGCAATCTTGCCGGAAGCCTTCATGGGGGCTACCTCCGCAACCCATGGGCTTATGGTAGCACTGAAGTTGGAAGGCTGAGGAACGATAAGCGAGATGTTAGTATACTGGTCAGCATTGTAAACCTGAGTCATAAATACTCTGTTAGCTACTCCACTCTTATTGAACACGGTGACGCACAATGGGAGTCAATCATACCGCTGCAGTCACATTGAGTTGTTGAAGAGTGACACCGTTGACAGTTTTCGTAGTTTGTGTGCTGAGGCTCATCTGTGGTTGAACAGCATCAGATAGAGGGAATCCGGCGCCTCCATTGTTATAGGTCGTAGTCTTGCCAGTGCCGTCTGTAATGTCAACGGTAAAAGAGGATATGCCTTGTTCAGCAGGAATATTGATGTTGTAATCAAGATACACAAAGCTTGGGCCGCAGTTAGGATAGTCGCAGGTTGAAGTAGATATGTTTCCAATAACGACAGGCGATGTGGCAGGCAAAGCCGCGCCGGTGCGTGAGACTGGCTTGACCAAGGCCTGGATGCCACCTCCCAGTAAAGTGTCGACAATCTGAAAAGTTAGTTCCTGAAGCTCTCATCCGTTCTTGTTGGTGCTATTACTAGTACTTACTCTTAAAGTTAGACTGACGGTCAGCGTCTTATCCGCATTGACATCTATAGACCACTTTCTTGGCTTAACGGGCAGGGGTTGAAGAACATCAGTTAGCTTAACACTTGGTGGCACCGTATTGATCATACGTTCCAACAGAGTAGCGCAGGTCTGAGAGAAGAAATCTAGTGATTCAGCCATTCGTGAGATCATATCACCGCCGTCAGCGTTGAAAATGCGGAAATCCGACCGCGTTGTCTCATTATGGCCAAATGCAAGCGGATTCTGAGAAATATTGGCCACAAATTCCTTGGCACTGGTTGGTCAAAGATCAGTTACCTGTCGACAGGATGGGTTCAGGGGAGCGTCAGTTGACCACGAGGTGCCAAGACAGACTTACACCTGGTTGTCGAAATTGCTGGTCGTCGTATCAAAAAAGACCGTATTGTCATTACCGAAAGGCTAAAATAGTCAACATTAGTCGCCACATGCATGAATAATCGCTAAGCCTCTGTTGGTCAAAGAGAGTGGATATACGAACGCCAGTAACTGGAGGGGGCTGTGGGTTCGGCACGATTTCTGGAAAATCCACACCATGCACACCTCCAACGGTATGCCCACAGGCAACAAGGGCAATCATCTCGGTCGTGTTGAAACCCTGCCTCACGAACTTTGCAGTGTGTGTGGCAAGGTCCTCCTGTGGTTCTGGAACGCCAGAAGGGCCGGGACCGGTTGCATCAACACGACCCGCCCTGTAAGGGAGGATGATATTTCCATTTGAGCATCCGCCAACTCCAAAAACTGCCCCCATAGCGAATAGGTCAGCTAACGAGGATCGGGTGGTGTATCTTGGCCGGAAAAAGTCCAAGGTTTCTTGGAAACCGGCGCCGGGATTCTCTGGGCGATCCTTTTCGAAAACAATCGAGGCATCTATTCCTCCAGTGCCAGCTTGCACGTCTGCCGTGGCCATGTCATGGTATGCGTTTCTGATCCACTCAGCACCAAAACCACGCCCGATGGCGAGGCCACTGGCACTGCAGGGAACAGCAAAGGTGGCAAGGCTGCTTTCGAAAGGGTTCTGTTGTTCGAACAACATTTTCTCAAGCTCGTCAGTTGCTTCATTTGGCCAGACATTGTCGGCATTGGTGGGAAGCCAGAGCGAGCAGGTAGCTAGCGTATAGGCAATGGTCTTTGTCCAAGCCATGGTTACAATGATGTCAGAAGAAAAATGTTAACGAGGTTTTCGAAGAGAAATACGAACATCTATCGGGCTCAGTTCTGATCCTCCTTTATAGTAAAAGTTTCGTGAGGAGCGCTTCAACCTGGTAAGTCATGAACGAGTTATCCGGCCTGGTTTCGAGCTCTCGTGTCTGTCAATGACATGCATTATGATGTGTTAAGCGCTAGCCCCAGCTTCCTATTTCAGTATCATGCCTTTTAAATGAGTATACTGAACATGGTCCAGACTATAAGAAATAAGCAATGCGTCTATTAATGGATGCCTACGACTTACGACCTACCAGATTCGCCCGTGAAAATTGATAGCGTCGGTTTTGAATCTCAATCCCTAGGGTTATTGGTTGTGGGCCGAGAATATCAGAGCAACAATAAGCGGTGTGAACAAGAAATTCTCTACACCCAACATAGTTAGTACTTGAAATGGCTTCCTATTTCAGTATCATGCTTTCAAGATATAAAATGAAGAATAGTGATGTTTATACAACCTACTTGGTTTGTTTGTAAAGTAGAAGCCAGGCGTAAGGGAACTCTAATGATAGTCCATATACTTACCGATGGCTTGAAGTGAGTGGAAAACACATGGAGGTGTAAGAGGATTTATGAACAATGAGTTGAAAGGTTAGGCTCCTTGATGCTCTAGCTACTTGCAATTGTGAGAAGTGTGCTTTCATGGGGTTGGGTGGTGTGATGGGAGTCCGCCATGTTGCCGCAAAGCCGAGAATTAAGGAATTAAAAATATTAAATATTTATTTATGTTTATATGTAACCATTAATAGCATAGTACTGAAAGCAATTGACTAACAAAGACAAAGAAAACGACGGTATGTCATCAGTCTCTTGATCCGTTCCGCACTGGTATTGTAAGCAAGCTCAAGCAACATTTCAAACCACCACCCAGAACCCAATCGCCAGCATCTTAATAATACATGTGAATTGAGAAGCACACAAATGAAAAGTCATAGAAAGTATTGTCTCCCGTCATTACTTCTTCTTTCCAGCTCCATTGACATTGCTCTCTGTCATTGCCCCCTGAGCCGCGTTGAGTCGGCCAAACTGCCACTCAGGAAGAGTGATACCAGTCTGCTCGTTGATCGTAGTCATCAGTGGTGGAAGCATCTGGTAAACATTGCGCATGACATCGGTTGATTCCGAGCCGCTGCCCTGGTTTCCGGTGTTCCAAACGCTGATCTTGGGCTCCAATCCGCGAATAGCGCTCGCGTTGGCCTTGGCGAGCTCGACAAGGGTGCCGTCCTTGATCATCATGTATTGGAGAAGACCAGCTGGACCACCAAATGCAACAGAGAGCTTGCCGTATGCGTCTGCCATTGCCGTGATACCTTCGGCTTCTTTAAGGGTCTTGACAAGGGCGGCCTCGGCGCTCCGCACACTTGCTTCTTGGTTTGCCTCGGCTGTCACACGAACCCTATATGCCTCTGCGTCGGCAGCCTTTTGGCTTTTATAAATCTCAGCGTCCGCTGCGCGTTGATTAGCCTCTTGGTTTGCCTCGGCCGTTACCCGAGTTTTGTATGCGTTTGCTTCAGAGGCCTTTTGACTCTTGTAAACCTCTGTATCTGCTCCTCGCTGGCTCGCCTCTTGGTTTGCTTCTGCAGAAACACGAGTTTTGTATGCGTCTGTATCTGCAGCGCGTTGTCCAGCCTCCCAATCTGCCTTTGCCTTGGCGTTGAGTTCATACGCGAGGGCATCCGCGGCTTGTTGTTTCGATTCACGAATGATAGTCGCTTTGACGACATCTTGGGCTCGAAGACGTTCCATCTCGGCTGCTGCACGCTTGACTTCGACTTCTCGCTTCAAATTCTCGTCCGTAGACTCAAGAGTGCGCTTAGCAGTGACCCGGGCAATCTCCACATCTCGTGTAAGAGCAGCTTGTTGTGTATGGAGGCGCGCCTCTGCCTCCGCGCGCTCGATGTCTCGAAGTGTTCGCTGCACCGCCGTCTCTGCATTTATCTTCGCAATCTCCCTTTCTTGTTCTCCCTTCTTCTTGGCTTCACCGACGTTACCTCGAAGCTGAGCTTCGGCAACGTCGATTCTTGCCTGGTTCGTTGCACCTTCGTGGGCCTTCTTGGAGAGCGATTCGAAGTAGATGGAATTGGGAGCATCCTTGAGTTCCTTGACGTTCGAGTTGTAAATTTTAAGGCCGAATTGCTGGAGTTCACCCTGGATATTGCGGAAGATGCGTCGCTTGAAAACCTCACGTTCGGTGAAGATTTCTTCCATGGTCATTCCGGAAACCAGAACACGCGTCTCACCCTCGATAATGCCCTTGACAATGTTTTCGACATGATCTCGCTCTGCAACTACCCTGTTGCCGCTGTTTGAGCGAGCTAAAAGCATCGCATACTTGACGAGAGCGTCTCCAGAGTCTTCTTGATGGCCTGTCGTCTCATAATTGTCTTCTCCATCATGTGAGATTGTTTCTGCGGTGACTCCTCCTTTAATGTTGGCCCCACGCTGATTGACGTCAGGTCCAACTGTGAATACAACAGGGAGAGAGAACTGTAGTTTCTCCTTTGTCATTGCCTGGAGATCCATGGCATAGTCGTGGGGCTGCACACTGAAACGAGTGTATCGCTGAAACGGCCACACCCAGGCAGCTTTGGTGATTCTAACGGTACGAATACCCATGCCAGTGATGGCAAGGTACTCGTCCGGCGCAGAAATCTTGTAGGACGCCATGGTGACTTGTTGGTGTGTGCTTAGAGAAGATGTGTTTGGATAAGGAGTTGTGAGGGGAAACAATTAGAAGAACAGCAATAGAAGTTGGATATGAGAGATGAAAGGGAAAAAAGAGTAGACAAGAGGAGCAATTTATGTAGATAACAGACGATTGGTGTAACTTTAAAGGTGAGTTTAAAAGCTTCTTTGTTCAAAGTTGTAGGGGGTGGCTTAGATTGAACATAGATAACTGCGCGCGAATTTATACAATGACCAATGTGCGCCGAGACGCAGAAACCTCCAAAAGTATGCCCATTGGATTGCCCCGAGAGCTGCTCCCTCGCTTTTCCGCCTCACCATCATTGGCTTATAAGGCAGGGCTGTTTAGTCCAGACAACTCGGTCAACCAGAGGTGGTATGATGTATGGCTCGGCGGTGGCGCAGCGATCTTGATGTTCCAGAAGCTTTCCCCTACAGGACGCCAAGGAACACGAAAGTGAGGCGGATCGCGTCCAATTTGGCAAATGCCGGCGTTGGACTCCTCAGCCGCAGCGGCCTAGTAACTTTTGGCGTGGGCAGATTCGGCTCAGCTTGATGCAAGGTGAACTGTCCTACAGTCCTTGATCATCTGACCGCTGTTTACACAAAGTATAAATTCCAATCTCCATGATTTTATATGAGGGGTTTTTATCTTGCCATTTATAGATGGCATTTGCAGGAGTTGCAGATGTGGCATTCATTGACACGACGTGAGTCAATGCGGTATTATATACAAATGAGCCTTGCCTTGGTGAGCTTATGGCGATCGTAGTGCAGTAATATGATTGGATCCATGCGAAGTGCAGGCCCCATTCAGGCGACAATGCATGGGGTGCATGTATGGGGTAAGGGGAATAAGCGGAACTGTAACAAGTTGCGAAGTAAAGTCTAAGTATTAGAAGAGGAATAGTCTTTAGTTATTTTAATTTTGACATTTCCAACAACCTTATTGATAAGAAGAGTACGCAAATCACTCTCTGCTAGATCTTTGGCTGCAATACGATGCCGCAATTTCGGCCGTCTTGGCAGCTGAACACAGTATTTCTTTAGCAAGAGCCTACCTGTTCAAGCGATACGAAACTGGATGCCTAAGATAGAGAGAAATTAATGAGCAAAGTGAATGTATACGACATAGAATTAAAATAAGAATCATGTGTGGGATTTCTAGAAAACGACTACGGTAACACCTACTAAAGCAGATAGAGAGACTTCCGTATAGCATCCTAACGAAGAACGGTCAGTAGGGATCTCGCCAAAGTACCTTGTAATGGGGCAGTCTTAGAATATTATTAGGATTTCAGGTATAAATAAGAAGGGGTAGCGTGAAATACCTTAGTGGCTAAGCACGAGCTCCAGCTGTCTCATCATAACGCTGAGCCGACGAACAGCGCGCGCTGGCGTCTTCGAGTGCTTCGAGTACTGGGCATGTGAAGATTAGTTAATAGGCGACTGGAGTAATGAACGAAGAGCTTGAGGCGCACGAGGAGCTTGAGGCAATTGAAGAAGTTGAGGTGGATGAAGAGGAGGATGTTGAAAGAGAAATTTTTACTTCGGAGAAGAGGAAGAGAAATAGAAGAAAAAATATTATCTTCTTAATCTACCACATCTACCACATCTACCACATCTACCACATCTACCACATCTACCACATCTACCACATCTACCACATCTACCACATCTACTACATCTACTACATTTACTATATATATCCCATTTACCACCATCTACTATATCTACCCACATCTACTATGACTATTAACATCTACTATATCTATTCAGTAATTTCTGAATCATCTTGCTTCCCGCGCTAGTTCAAATAGAGGTCTTACGAAATCTCAGATGATGACAGCGACAATGACTCTCCGTATCGCGAGCAGCTTCCAAGTTTAATGTGTGGATCAACTCAGCCAGCACCAAAGAAGACCGTGACCTTTCTATACTGGGCTCCTGAGTCCATCATTCTGTTTGACGAGCAGGGGCCTTCTAATGCCGATTAAATGGAAGACGAAGAGTTCCATTGTGCTGTATCTATATTGTGGGAAAAAGGTTTCCACAACAATAACCCGCAAAACAGGAAGAATTTTGAGAGGTTTGTGGAGCAAGTAAGACGCTTCTTTCAATACCCGCCACAGGTTTCAGGGTCTAAAATGCATTTCGAATTATCAGCAAACAACCGACTCAAACGAGACCGATGGGCGTGAGAGAGCGGCTTGAGATGGGATGTGTGGACACGACTTTGGGAAGGCGCCAACTTTGGAGGAGAGAAATATTCGTTTGACACTACGAGATATATGCCTAGCAAGGAGTGGGATGATGGGCCGGATCTGTTGCTTTCGATTAATGTCTAATGTACTGTGGTGGGCTCTGGGGTGGTGATCTTGGAGCTTGCTTCTGTAAATTTGCGATTTCGAGTTTTCAGCTCCAGTGGGCGAATAAGAATGTCCTTTCATTTACGGTCCAGTGATGCTTGATTAGCAGGCGCTGCTATGAGAGGTGGGCGGAAACGAGTCACGTACACAAGAGAGGGAGAATGTAGAAAACATGCCGATGGACGTTGTCAGACAACAATTGGGTCAAGCAACGATCTGGGACGAGAGAGATCTTAGGGCGGATGGGGTTTCGTCAGGTCGTGTCTCTTCTAGATTGTGGCCGTCCGATAGACTGTAGGGAAACTGGACTACGATAAATGAACATTAGCATGTGCAAGAATGGGGGACAACTGGGCGCCCATGGCGTAGCAACATGGTCTGGGATTGTATAAGATCTGACAGCGGACTTTGCGGAGTGTGGAAGAGCAGTCTAAGCATAGGTAAGAGAGAGGTATCGGAATAGACAGCAGTTTCAAGGCTACATTCAATCAAGGCGGCTCTGCGCGTAAGTAGGGCCAGGTTGCTTTTCCGAGACCCGTGAGAGACAGCATGAAACGGACGATGTCAATGGCCGGTGAATTAGTGCCCAGTGCCCGCAAACGCCGTGACCCACCAGGTGAAGGGGACGAGTCTGACTCCGACACCGACTCTGACTCGGAGGGAGACACAGATGACGAGGATGACCAACCACTCAGCAGGAAGAGGAAAGGGGGGGCTGGAGCAAAACCGATTGGCAGGAAGGCCAAGAAGCCGACACGCCCCTCGCCGGGACTGTTGGGCCCCTCTCCGGATGTGTGGACCGACATCGACTTCAAGCTTGAGCCAACAGGCGTTAGTGCTGGGCAGAGATACCTACTCCATCATTCATTGTTCAGGCCCGCCAATTTTGAGGCAGTGAAGCGTCACGTCTCGGGTAAAAACATGACGACCTCCTCAGACAGGAGGAAGGCATTCGATGATGCCACTCAAAGAGCCCTTAGGGCCCTTGAAGCTGGAGACTCACATGTGGTGCCAGAATGGGTACCTGAGGCTGACGATGCTGATGGCTATGGACAACGGAAGAATCCAAAAATGAGTCCATGGGTTCCATTAGTTGATAGATTGGAGTTACTGAATAGATGGCCGGGGCTTTATTTTGCAAAGAGATATGCAAAGTTTTGGCCCATGACGATGGCTCAATTGCTAAGTCCAGTAGAAAGACCAAACGAGGACGTCGATTAGTGAGCTCCTACGGGTACGATCTGACTAGGCGTTCATTTTCGCGATACGTAAAAGGAAGCAAAGTGTCCAATGTGTGAATGAGTGGTAAATATCTGGATATTATTCTATAGAAGAACTACAATTTCACCACGACTCCCATTGTCCCGCGATCATCCTTGCTCCATAGCTACCTTGTACCATGACCATCCTTTCTCCATAGCTACCCTTGTTTTATATTGATGAATTGTATTCCCGACTGATAACCTTCCGTCTAGGTGTCAGTAAAGCATTCAGAGATGCTCATGCTAAGTTGGTATGTGGCAGCAAAAGGGCATCGTAGATTGAGACATGGCAATGTCCAAGAGTCGGCTGAAAGTGTGAAGAGCCTCGAGCAGCTCCAGTCGTTGAAGGAATGACAAACGACGCCAAACTCGACAGGTCACTCGAGCCTGGTCTAATGGAATCTCTCGAAAGTGCCCGGTAATAGGGTAGCCTAAGAATATTATTAAAATTTAAGATATAAATAAAAAGGGGCAGTAGAAGAAAGTAGAGGTAGTGGAAGAAAGTAGAGGTAGTAGAAGATAATAGAAGATAGTAGAGATAGTGGAAGAAAGGATAGATACTGAAAGAAAGGGATTGAAGAACTCAAGGTAGATGAAGAGGAGGATGTTTAAAGAGGAAGATATTTAAAGAGGAGGATGTTTAAAGAGGAGGATGTTTAAAGAGGAGGATGTTTAAAGAGGAGGATGTTTAAAGAGGAGGATGTTTAAAGAGGAGGATGTTTAAAGAGGAGGATGTTAAAAAAAGAAAATTTTAGTTCGGAGAAGAGGAAGAGAAATGGAAGAAAAAAGATTGCTGGAGAAAGATCTCGAAACGCCGCCTACTTATATTGTAAAGAGAAGTTAAATAAGAGTGAGCTCAGAGAAAAATAAAGTGCACGGAATTTTTTAATAGTGCCTGGCTACCTGTAGACCGCTTTTAAAACGCCCTGAGTAATAGAGTACATATATAAAAGATTTAAAGTTATTTATATCTATGGATGAGTGGAATCTTCCGTCAATTATGATTTGGAGGAGGTTTGATACGTCGGCCCTCAGAAATTGAGTTGTCCTCAATATCTACCATACTTGTCACTCTGATTGGTCGGTCCAAAGCTGGTGGACGACGCCGCACTGGTCGCGCTGACCGGCGACACGGCACCAGACCGTGACGACGATGTCGAACTCCTCCGTACATCTAATCTCACGGAGGCGAGAAACAGACTGCCGGTAATGCACGTCACCCTTCAATTGGACTAGCCGTGGGTAACCCTGAAGACCCCGTCCCCGGAGCCACTCCACTAGGGATGAGGAAGGTTAATCATTCACTGAAGAGAGATGCTGTCGTCGGACAGCTCGGCGAACTGATCCAAACGTGGCTGACTCATTACCGAAAAGTTTAGTGTATAATAGAGCGAATTAGAGAAGTTGTAGTGTTTGAAGAGAAGAAGAAGCCTCATGTCGAGGTCTATATGTAACTGGACGATAAAGCGGCAGATCTCAATCACATTGCTGGAAAATAGAACCAAGTCTCATTACCAGTCGTATATAGAGTGAATAATTGAGGACGGAGGATGTGGGAACAAGACTGAGTCAGATAATTGCCGAATTGCGGTCCTGGCTCGCGAGGACTTCATAGGTGAGAGGCGCCATAAAGATGTGGTTTGTAGGGTATTAGCTCGTATACTCCATGGAAGGTATAATTTGAATAAAGTGAATGAATGCAAGTACAAATTTGAAATGAGAGCCATGTCTATGATATCTAGGAAACGACCACGGCAACACCCACTGAAGCGGCCGAAGAGTCTTCCGTATAGCATCCCAACCAACAAGTGCTAGTAACAGTTTCTAAGATGCCCAATTCTACCCTACAGTTTATACATATCGCCCAACCAGTCGGCAAGCATTGCAACCATTTCTTTCGTACAGCTGTGTCCTGTGTTCTCCTGTATGAACAGTCTAGGCTTGATGTCTTTAGATGTTATGCTTCTGTTCCGCATGGCACTTCTTCTTTCTAACCATGATGTTGTATACCGTGCCGGTACCAGTTTATCGTACTCTCCATTGCACATGAACAGAGGTACATCGCTGGGAAATTCTTCGTATATCTTCCTATCACCCTCGCGGACAAACTCTGCTAATGCGCGCGGCCATCGACGCCGTTGCGACTCGTCCATAAGCTTTTCCAACTGCTCGTAACTGGCAGTCTCTAGCTCTTCTCCCTTGACACCAAGAGCTGAAGCGTCAATTCCTAGACGCTCCAGTAAGAGAGATGTCAGGTTTGGGCAACCGACAACCATTGCGAAGGCGTCAAACTGGCTGGGTGCTGCCGATGCCATACGCCAGGCTGTATGAGCGCCTAATGAGACACCCAACATGATATTGTGCATGCGATTGAACTGTGGGAAATACGCTGGCAAAAAGTCGAGGACAAGCTTGAAATCTTGGGTTGCGCCGGATATCATGGATATTAAATCGACGCTGTAGAGATAATGCACTGTTAGTACTACTCATTTAAAAAGACATAGACGACATAAATCATGTCTTTAAACAAATTTGCACAACTTACGCGTGGTTTTCGTTACCACCTGACCAAGTCAAGTTTGCTTCCGGGCTGACCTATTGGGTTCCGCCATTGTTAGATGTCATCATGGCGGTAAAAATGGTGAGCACCACATACCTGGCGATCTCCATGATTCCTCATGTTCATCGTAATGGCAATCATCTCGACTTTCTTCTTCCTGCCATCGGATCTATATCTATGCAAAATCTCATGGGCGATGCCTTCTGTCACTAGATATGTTCTTGTCCGGTTATGAGCAAGATACAAAACGGCAACGTCTACCCCAGACTTTTGTTGAAGTTCATCTAATCCATAGACGTATATAGTGACACCGCCAATCGCCAATGATGTTTTGCTTGACCGAGGTGTCGACAGAGGGAGAGAAAATCGCGGCTCCAAGCCATCTGGGGTTGTGCTTGGCGAAGGCAAAGTGTCTGACATCTTGGCGTGCGTTATTGGTGCCTCAAAGAATGAATGAGTAGACGAATGATAGGAGTGCCAAGAAAAAATGCACAAATAAATGACCGAACTAAGAGGAGAGCCCAGACTAAAAGAGACGTGGCTTAAGAATCCCTTCCTCGTGCCATCTCTATAGACGGATAGACAGCGCTGTGCAGGTATAAGTCGGCAATAACAAATGGAAACAAGCATTTGCCGGGCTCTAACTTTTTTTGCCGGAATGCAAGGGGTTCGGCTGGTTGTTCGGCCAGTTCGGTCAACTGTGCCGATTGGACTCCGTACAAATCTCGCAGCGGTACTGTGGTCATCCAACTAATTGAAGACATGGAATTCCATTAGCGTACGGAGTAGAAAGAGGCACAATGTCAGATCTTTATTACATACCTGCTATGAATTGAAATTATTGATTGTAAGTCACGCTCGTAGCATGTGGAAAACAAAGTACGTGGTGGATCCAACAAAGCAGTGTTTCACCGAGCACATACTGAGAAGATTTACAGCCTTTTGCAAGTACACTTAAAGCGCAATAACAGATAAATATTAACAATGATAAATATTAATTATGTGAAGCGAATTCACATTTACACAGATATACAATTTGTTTCCTTCACTTCCTAGCCAATCGCTTCCTTGCCTGTATTTCTCAAATTTCGGCGAGGAGATCCCACACGCTCAAAGGATGCTGTTTAAAGAACTCCAAAATAATTGGTGTTGCATTGAAGCTAGCAATGTGGTGGCCAGACACCTGGTTATCAGCGTTTGGCGCCGTGCTAGGCCAATCATGTCCGATTACAGCGTCGTAAACGTGCTCAACCAACCCAAAGTTGACTCCTGACCCGTATTTGTAGGATACCGTATTGGACGAGATCGGCGTGGTAACGTTATGGAGGCTCAGGCCGTCTCGTGCAGCCCATTGTTGGATGAAATGCGGGATTGATGGAAGACATTCCTGCTTGCGCGCACCACCCTGGTAATGAATTGTAGTGTCGTTGCCACCGTGAAACTCCAGGAATGGAATATCATGACGGCTGGGGTTACATGGGATCTGCACGGTGTCGGCTGCACAGGACGATGTATTGACATAAAAGGCACCAGATACGGGGGCAAATGCTGCAATCCGGCTCGACATTTTCTTGTCGCAAGCCAAGACGTTACAGAATCCGGCGCCATCCGACTTTCCGGTGGCAAAGATTCGAGTAGGATCAATGCAATATTGCTCCTGAACATGGTCGAGAATATCTGCGGTGAACTGGAGGTCGTTTACTGTAACATTCGGAACGCCTTGCCAAAAGTCCTTCAGTTATGTCAGCATTGGCTTTAAACACTGCTTCTAAGCAACCAAATTGCCCTACATTGATGCCCTGAGGGTAAATGACAAAAGAATTCGTATTGAACTGGGGACTGGTTAATTCGTCTAATTCCAGTTGGCTTTCTGCGGTTCTTTCGCCCCCGTGGTAAGACAGGATCGCCGGAGTTGGGACCTCATTATGGTACGTTGGTGGAATCGCGATGAGGTAGTACCTCAACAGCCCACCACTTGTAATTGTCACGTTTGCAACACTACCAGCTGATTGGCCATGGGGTAATTTCTTAAGGCATCCTTCTAATGAGATGGATGAAAGGCCTTTAGGTAGGACCAAGGCTTCAGCCAAAGCGGCGAAGAATGCAACCTTGAGAGATAACATGGGTAGCAAGAGACAATAGAATCCTAATCCGGAAGAGAGAGCAATGGAACACTGAATCACACTTTCCACTTACGTCAATTGTCTTAGATTATCTCTCCTTTTATATATAGTCACATTCCAGTTAGAAAATGCTACCCCAAGGGTCCGTCACATTTTCTGGGGAAAAGATGCGGAGAACCCTGGAGAGAAGAGTCTAACTAGACAAATTCAGTCCACGAGAGTACCGAATCTCCTGCTCATGTTTGGTATTTACCGAGATTACCGGAATCATATGTTCAAATGGTTCCTCACACCGTCTATGAAGCTCCATAATTCTTAGGGCTGACTGACAGATGGATAGAATCGGAAGACGGTGCCTCGGTAAGCAGGTTCGAGCCCACGATTGTGTTCTAGAAAGCTGACTATTAATAAGATAGTCTGTAAACTATAGACATGACGGAACTGATTTGCCGGACTTATAAAGTTTTTCATGACTCAAAGATAGCTAAACTAAAACTTCAGCATCTGGGTCAGTAGAGATGGATGGAATAAGTTGAGTTAGTTGAAGCCCATTATGGAGACAGTCTGACTGTTTTAACATTACTTCTCTTGTAGTTGCGAGGAGGGCGAAAGCATATTGGAACCAAGTGATATAGATATGAACTAGGACAACTGGACAACTGTTATTGAAGAGATTATTCGAAACTAGCTAAGCGTTCTACAAGACGTATCTGAAATCTTTGTTCTGGATATCAGTAAGATCCTCATCGATTGAGTGCAGATTCATGGGTGTGCCACTTCGTTTGTCTCTCTTTCTGTTTTCCATACGCAACGCAATAAGCGTAATGGACGCAATCACTACCACTCCACACAGGCAGACAAAGCTTCCTACGAACCCTGCGTGATAGATTGGGCCCGGAGACGCGCCAAAGATCACCGGACCAATGACATTTCCGACGCAATATCCAACGAAAGTCGAGGCACTGACAGTGGATTTTTCTTTAAAAAATTGGTGAGACGCTATTTCACACAAGGCAGATGCTAGGAGAGGGGGGAAGCTTACTAGTATGTCCGGCTATGTTCGATGCCGTCAGAGAGACAGCAATTCCTCCAGAGGCGACTTGGACAGCAATGAGAAAAACACCCGCAAACAATAATCCTCGATTACTCCGAGGCCCGAACCAGCAGATGAGAGTGCCGGCGATAGAGATCAACCCGCAGACAATAATCAGCAGGTAACGCATGTTTCTCCACTTCCGTGTGATGTAACCCGACAACAGAATAGAAGTGGCAGTAATTGCTCCAATGGGACATGTTAGAGCCAAAGAATCAAAGTGGTCGAATCCGAATCCGTTAATAACGACAGTACCGAAAGTTCCAAGGGCTCCCGATGGCACACCGGTAAGAAGCACTATGAAGGCGCTGCTGTACAGCTTGTAATCGCGGAAAGCCTCGAAGAACTGGGCCTTGTTGAATTCGTGGCTTACGGTACCAGCATTGTTTCTCTCGAGACGGCGAATGGCGATGTGTCTCTCAGCCTCTGTCAACCGTTTGCTCGTCATGGGGTCATCAGGGAGGAAGAAGAAGAGAACAATGGACCATAAGATGGTGACACCGCCAAGAATCAAGAAGATTGGTTTCCAAGAAGGCAGTGAGCCATGAATCTGACCCAAGCCGTAGTTGATTAGGGGAGATATGGCTGTGGCAACTCCAACACAGCTGTACCAGAACCCAGTTCGTAGGGTCTGCTCTTCTCGTGTCCACCAAAAGGTAACCAAGACAGTGAATGAGGGAGCAACGGCTGACTCAAGGAAACCCAGGAAAAGACGATTGATCATAATACCGGCATAGTTGAAGCAGCCGGCTGTCGACATGAGAACAGCTCCCCACAGGAATGTCGCGACGGAAACCACTCGCGATGTTGAGTAGCGCTGGCACAAGAACATCATTGGGTATGTACCAACGAGATATCCGATGTAAAACATCATCGAGGCATTGGCGTATTTCTGGTTATTCGTGATTGGGGTTCCGTCTGGCAAATGGCCGACAATCGTGGTGAGCTTCAAGTCCGCATTGAAGTTGAACTGTGTTGCGGCGCTCATGACACCCTTGTCGTAGCTCTGCAGCGTGTACGTCACCATCATAAGAGGAATAATCCTTTACACTTGAATGAGCCATTGGTCGCAGAAAAAAATAGTATAGTTTACTCAAGTGAAGGGGACATCATACCAGAAATCGAGTTTCCGAATAAGCCGTCTCTCGTCCTCCGGAGTGAATGTCTCACTGGTAGGCTTCATGTTGGCAGTCTCGTCTTCCATCTTCTCAATCTCTTCAGCCCCATCATGCTTTGTGTCGTCAAGTACGTCCATGTCGTGAGGCGCCATAGTCACAGAGTAGCGGGACGAGTGGCTTTTTTGCGGTTTGACTTGTGCAAACATCATTTAGTTCCCGTTGTTGTGGTGATAATGATGTTATATAACGTTCTCGTCGTCGTTCCTCCTGACCTTGTGACACAATTGGCTGACCATCGTTCGGCAAAGTTACCATACAGAGAACACGACAGGGTTGAGTTCACCCCGCTCTTCTCCGCGATGCGCCGTCATGATGTCCACCCGTGGAGAGAGCAAAGGAGAGAAAAACGCGACATACCGCTAGAATGGATCTCGGAATAGAAATGTCTCGGCAGACGTGCGGACAAAGCTAAAGTCAGATAATAGCCGAATTAGCCGTTCTAGCTCGCGACAACTTCATAGTTCAGGCGCCACAAAGATGGGGTTTGTGGAGTATTAGCTCGTATACCCCATCCGGGGTAAAAGGTAAGCTGGTCGGCAAGAATCTTTTTTCTTTTCTACCGACGGCAAACTTCTTCCCCAGACAAACTCATCTTTTACCGGCCATGGAATCTGGGGAGAGCTTACATGCAGCTCGGCCCAACAGCAACGCATGGGGAAGCAATGGTGGTGCCAGAGTTGCTCCACGGATTCGATCGCGGGTTGCCTGTCAGCCTTGCAATCAGCGCAAAGTTCGTTGCGACGTTGTTCAGACTGGGGGTAATGCGTGTTCAAACTGCCAGCGCGATGGCGGATCTTGTGTTGTTCTTCCGCGCAAGAAGCATCGGTAAGCATTGAAGAGCGCTTGATTGAGTATTGACATCCGTTTTTGCTCACCAATTGTCCTCTCACAGGCCGCGGAGAAAAAGAGATTCTCAGTTTACGTCGCAGAAAGCAGCTGGAAATACGGCTGGGATCTCATATAGCAAGGCTGCTTCCGGTGGCCTGGTAGATCCACAAGTTGGTGCTATACCAGTTGAAGATCCTCCAGAATACCCTTATGGCGAAACATTTTCGGCATCCCTACCGTCGTCAAGAAACAATGTCATGGGCGTTGGAGAAGCCCAGGGCCGATCGGCGACAGACACTATCTTACCTGAAGATGGCCCTTTTACTTACATTGGTAAGCATCCTATCAGAATTCTGACAATCATGACATGGGAAAGATATCTCATCATCTTAATAGGCGACAGGAGAGGGCCACGCCACTCTGTCTATGACCTCTGCCACCCTGAGACTCCTGAAGATGCACGATATTTGCCGCCAGACACGGTCATCTCGTCGTCTCACAAACCGCATGAGCTAGAGTATATGCGCCTTCAGGGTGTCTTCTCTAGGCTACCGGACGATGTGTGCGACGAGTTAATACGCTGCTACTTCCATCATGTCCACTTCTTTCTACCAATAATCGATGCACCCGCGTTTCTAAACGAGTACTGCAGCAATGGCTCTCGGAATATTAGCCTGCTGCTCTATTGGAGTATTCTGCTGGCTGCTGCAAACGTAAGTTCATGTGAAGACGCAAATTGATGTCGTCGTCTAACCTTTGCTCTCAGTTCGTCGATGCGGATGTTTTACAAAAAGCAGGGTTCTCTTCTAGAAAGGCAATGAAGACTGCCATGTATGAACGCGCCAAGGTGAGCAATCTGGCACTTGGTGATCACAATATGTCTCGTAAACTGACTCTTGACAGTGTCTCTATGACTTCGATCGAGGGACAGAAAAACTGGTGCTCATTCAGTCCGTCATCCTATTGGGATTCTGGTATACTGACCCTCAGGATCATACTGGCGCCTGGTACTGGATAGGCATTGCAATTTCGCTCTCGCAGAACATCGGACTCCATAGGTCTTCGCGTTTGGGCAGCCGTGCACCGCAGAAGTCTTTGCCAGCGCGAGAATCCCTCATGCGTCGCATCTGGTGGGCGTGCGTAGTCAGAGATCGATGGGTTTCGTTGGCACGGGGCCGTCCTATGCGCATTCATAGCGAAGACTGCGACACGCCTCTTCCTGTGGTGGAAGACATCATGAATGAATTAGAGTCTGTTGTTGGCCGGGCGCGAAGCCATTTTGTGCCGGTGGAATCCAGGGCCTTGGCCGAGATGTGGATTCGGCTTGTGCGCATTTGCGATACGTTGGGCCACATCTTAAGAGTCCATTATTGTGTGAATGGAGGGATACCCAGTATAACGGAAATTGACAAATATGCGCAAGAGTTACAGGCCTTGGCCCAAGAAGACGCCGTCCCAGTTGACTCTAGTGAGAGTTTAAGCATCAATGGGATCCAAATCGATTTACTGTACCAGTTTGTGCTCCCGTTCAACACACCTAGTTCATCTACACAGCCACTGACTCTTTACTAGAGCTACAATTGCAATACTCTATCGACCATACGTATTGAATCGGTCTACTCCTCTTCCATCTGGAGCGCATTCACTGTGGCAAAAGATTGCAACGAGCCGAGCCCGCGAAGCTGCATCAAATACCAACGGACTGCTGCAGAGTCTCATTGAAGTGGATGGTATACGATATTTGAAGCCAATGATGTATTAATTTCTTCTTCTATTGTCCAGTTTCTGGAGCTTGTAAACTGATTATCTCTCGCCATAGGATTACCGCGATGATCCCCGCTATGCAGATTCACCTTTACGACTGCAAGTCCTCAAACGCATTGACCCGCGGTCTGGCGGAGAACAAGCTCCAACTTCACATGCTGGTTTTGTCAAACTTGAGAGAAACATACTGGAGCGCCGACGTCACGTATCGACTTTTTGATCGGGCTCAAAACATACTCAAGGAGTCGAATTCCCAAGTGGAAAAACCACCTATCAAGAACGCCGATAACAGTCGAGATTCCACGCATCTACAACAATCACAGCCGCAATTGTTTCCACCGACCGAGCCACCCTTGCTTCCGACTCCAGAACCTACCGTCTTGGTAGGTGAACAACAATATGCAAATACATGGTTCAATGGTTCGCCACAGTTTAGAGACGTTGATCAGCTATTGAGCCCAGGGTTTTACCTTTCTGAGGATGGCTTCTCAGAGTTCCTTCTTAGCTATGAAGATGCCGTTGTCTACGATCCACTTGTTTTGGGATGAAGCAGGATACCTGAACAGATATTACCATAATACGCAATATTGAACTATATTACTATGTACCCTTCAGAACGTCAACTGGGTATATCTCCCATGTCCGACTTTACCCAAACGCACACATTATTCACTGCCAGGCGCCATGACACATGTGACATCTATCACACAAGATAGCGGTGAATTATTGCACAAGTGCTTAACCGCCGTGATTAGGCACCAGCAGTTGGCAGCCGATATTAGTGGAGCGGTGATTTCTCCTAAGCTGCAGGTAGCCGCTTAATGACAACATTGAACAAACACGGCCGTTTGCCTGCATTCCAGGCGGTGGCTCTATTGCAGTGAATTTGGCGTCATCTTTGCTGATCGGAAGCTAATTTACTTGAACTGCATTCAGCTATTGAACATGAAGTGCTTGACTCTTGTCTCTCAGCTCTCTACTCTTGAAGTGATTTTCCCTGGAAATGCATTTCCGCCGCTTCTCAATTCTCTTTGACCATAAATTGCAGCATTTCTCCCCTTCATTTCCTTCCCATCATCACCTCATCGTACTTTTACGAGTAGAGCATTTCTGTATCTCTTCATAACCCCAAACAGAATGGTCTCCCACACGAAATTACGATGACCGCGGGTCAACTAAGAGATAGAAACCGTATTCTATCCATCGTGCTGAAGTCAGGATCATGGTGAGGCTTGAACATCCGACATCCGTATGCGATTCGTCCCACGCGAGTTCTTCTACGCTATTCTATCCCATAACTTGCTCTGTACACGGCCTCTTTCGGTGTGTATTCCTGAGACTTCAAAGTTTGTTCCAGCCCTTGACTAACGACGAGTGATACCCCAGAGCCGTTGATTTGACAACTTACGGATGGACGACATCACTGCCTGGCCCCTGAAACCATGGCTGAACCACGAATACTGAAGTTGTATCGGACAAACTCAGACACTAGATCTGTTTACCTCTACTAGATCTATCTACATCTACCAGATCCATCTACATCTACCAGATCCATCTATCTCTACTGGATCTACCTACATCTACTACATCTACTACACCTACCACAGCGACTACAGCGACCATAGATTACAACAACTACATCGACTGCATGCACTACAGAGACTACGCCCCTCAAGCCTAGCAACTGGCGGACGGCATCCGTGCCTATGACATCCCAAGCAGTGTGGACAGTGAGGCCTCCAGATACGACGGCTAGGCCAGAGCAAGACAAGGAAGCAACTTGAAGACTGCTGGCATGGATGCGCAGCGATGCCTTGGGTTCGGCAACATATTTGCAACATGAAAGGTACTTTACTTTAGCCGCAGTTGGCCACCAAATGGTAGGTACTTTTTCCATTTTCCAGCATATGCTCTCCTCTTCGTGCCTTGAGGCCTCATTTGTGAGCGCGCCTATTTAAACATGATGCAACTCTCCTCTCCTCCTTTTCTTTTCTTTTCCCTTTCATCATCTGCAGGCAAGCAGCGCAGCTCCGCCTTTCTCATTCCTTGCCTCATCTCTTCCTTATCTTTTGTGTGTTGCCGTTCTCGTTTTTTCTTCTCTAATACTTCGCTCGGTATCTGTTCTGATTCCCCATGAGATGCTATTATGACCTTTGACTAACCAGGGAGCAGGCTTCGTTACTTCAACTTCGTTACTTCAACTTCGTTTCTTCATACCACGCTCGAGAAAAGCACTGCTTGATCCAGGACCTTGCGTTTCAATCCGCCTCCACCACAGGCACCTTTTCGTACCAGGAGCCGGCACCCTGGCTGCTTGTTTCCGATTCTCTGCGGTATGTATGTCTACAAGACATTGGTCCTGATATTGGCTGACCAGAAGTTGCAACACTGCCTCATAGAATCGACGATGGTCCAGCCCAGCGAAAAGAAAAAGAGAGTCCTGCCGGAAGGGGTTCCCGCATTCGTACTCTGATATGAACCACTTTTCTCGAGACTCATCAAGCACGGATGGTTGGGCAATGGAACTCTCGTCAACTTTTTCCCCATGGATTTACCAACATATTTCCAATGAGGAATTGGAAAATTCAAGATGTCAGCCGATAGCTGTCTGCCGGAGACACGTCCTCAGGCTTGCCATATTAGCTTGCCCAAAGTATATACAGCTCACATATCTTTACTCAACAGAAAAACGGAAGCCCCACGATCACCACAACACGGAAATGGAAGAAGATGTGTACTCTTCCCAGAGACAGTGGAAGAGGGACCAGAGGACCAGAGAGGTATTGACCCAAAGATTGCCCCAAGGATGGCCAGCGGATTCGAGCCGCCAGAAGAGTTTCAGGACCGCTGGAAAGACTGCACCGTTATATTCGGTAATGAGGAACTGAATACGGTGATTCTCTCACCGGACCAGCAAGTATTGGTAGAGACTGAAGAACAACTTATATACCTCAAAGATCAAGACGCCGTGATCCGTGAAAGCGAGGTCATGAAGTATCGCGTGCTGGCACGATGCCAACATCTCGCATGCGGCCCTACAAAGAAGCCAAAGGCCAAGGCGGATGGAGAGGATGTGAACGACAATGAGGGCCTATTACTCTCTATCAAGAATGGCAAGTCGGTTTACATCGGACAGTCAATGCACATGGATGGCCCTGTGTTTGCATCGGGTAAGAACGAAGAAAAGCATTCGGCCGGGTTCGATTTCAAGGGCCTTAATCTGAAGTCCGAACCGCACAAACTCATAATCGGCTCTGGAACAATCCCGCATTTCGCAGTGAGCTCGAAGTTCAATCTCAAGAAGGCCAAGCAACTCGTACATGCGAAATCCCTGAAATCATTCTACAGAAAGGAATGGGAATTTCGGGCTTACAATGAGTATGCCGAGAGGTTGATAGGGGAGATCGTATGTGGCTTTCCTTTAGAGGCCTTGGCGCATCAATATATCGAAGAATGCCGAATAAAGCCAGGAGACAGCCTGAATGGGGCATATAGGTTCCCAAACCTAAGCCCAGGGGAAAGGAACCAGCTCCTGGAGGAGATTTTGTCGCATGTGGGTATTGTGCCGGACGTCTTTCAATTTAAGGTTCCACTTACGGCAACTTTGGAATACCCGGAAGAGCTTGACGAGACCCTGCGAATATTTGCCTGGAACACCCCGAGGATATCCTCCCTCGGAACATGCTACGTCTACCATCTACTACATCTACTGCCACCTACTCTACCACCTACTACCACCTACTACCACCTACTACCACCTACTACCACCTACTACCACCTACTACCACCTACTACCACCTACTACCACCTACTACATCTATTATAATCTGCTACCATCTGATAGATCTACTCATTTATTTTATCACATGGCCAACGTATAGATGCATGCCGCCAAACATACCAAGAACACTTGAGTCTTTGCTCAGGTAACATCTTCCCGACCACGAGTTTCAGCGAAAATAATGGGCGATCTCTTGTCTTGGCGAGGCCTTGGGGCAAAGAGAAAAACGGATGGAGGATTCGTTGTGCTATCGACCAGTAACACCATTGTTTCTGAAACCCTGAAATGTCTGCAATTTCCCCATTTCGTGAAGCATAGGCTTTTAGGCCGCTGCAGATATTTGGTCTACAACTTCGGCAAGGAAAAAGAAAGCAAGCACTACAAAGCGATCCTCAAATCTCTCAACGCCGGAGAAGAGGCGCATTTCGCATATGTGGGATTCGATGCGAATATGAGGGGACCAGTGTTTGCCTATAAGAAAAAACCGAAGAAGGGGGCCGATGATCCAACGGACGACGAAGGAGGGGAGTCAGACCTACTGCTATTCAACATGAAGGGAGTTGTGCTCACGTTTGAACCTCTCCATCAAGTGGTGGGTCAGGGTTTCTTGCCTCACTACTCCGTGACGTCGCCGGCGAACTGTATAGCTGTGAAGAGATACGTTGGTGGGAAGTCGCTGCAGACTTTCATTCCCGCCACCAATCTGAGAAGGAAATACTTGAACGGGGCGAAGGACCTTGGGGTACGATTGCAGCAGGGAAAGAATGTCGTACCTCCTCAACTAGTTCCCATCTCCAGGGAGGACAATACGGTTGAAACTGAGGATGGTGCCCCCCGCGTGCGCCAAAGATCTTGCAACGCCTCCCTAATTTGGCGGTCGCTCAATGCTCCCTCTGGATATCAGCTCAAACTTGTGTACGTCAATGCACTCGACATCCCACAAGCGTTGATCACCATCTTGGAAGATTTCGCCAAGAAGTTTCCCAATGATCATCTGACGATGCCCTTGATGATTACCGCTTCTATCTTTAACAGAGGATCGCCATATATACTTACATAAAGATATACCTACGTCTACTACGTCTACTACGTCTACTACGTCTACTACGTCTACTACGTCTACTANCTACGTCTACTACGTCTACTACGTCTACTACGTCTACTACGTCTACTACGTCTACTATAGCTTCTATAGCTACTAAATTTACTACGTCTATTACGCCTACTATACCCATTGCACTCTACACTATTAGTGCATAATCTTAGCCTCAATCCAGCTGGAGAAGTGATGCCAATTGTCTACGTGAATCATGGTTAATCTCTGTTAGATCAAGTGCTTATTGACACTGAAACGTACTAGTAGAATATGTCTGCAAGATAGAAAGCTCAATAATGACTGCATGTGTCCAAAGGTTGGATTCAATGTATGTATTTTCTAACCAAAACTGTGCGACGATATAGTATATTTCTTATATCCTCATACTTCCCCCGATTCCGCAAACGTTCTAACCATTATGTACATAGCTGTTTCCCCAGCGTTATATACAGCGTTGATATCGGCTGCTGTCTCTACTACCTTGTCAATTAATAGCTTTACATTATCATCCTTGGTACTTCTTGCTGCCATGTGAAGGGCGGTTTCACCTGCGTGAGTCCTTGAATTCACGTCGGCATCGGCATCCAACACAAGCCTCAAAGTCCATGTGTTTTCAGCCCGTGTCACTAAGTGTATCAGAGCCTCTCCACTCTTATTTTTGGCCTCGATATCTGCCTTGTGGGATAGTAGCGCTTGAAGTACCTTTCTTTCTTCGTCAGCATTGGCTCGTAAGAGAGCTGAGTCTCCTTTCTCCGTAGTAGCACTAGCATCTGCCCCCCGATCAAGTAGAAGCTGGACCATTTCTTCGTCTCTGTTGATCACGCCCCTGATAAGTGGCATTTCTCCATTTTCAGACTTCGCGTTAATATCCGCCAACTTTTCGTCTAAAAGACACTTGACGACCTGAAAGACACCTTTCTCCACGGCATAATGAATGGGCGGATCATCGATGGAATGAGAAGGATAGCCTGATTTCTCCTTCAGACTAAGGAATGAGTCTCCCACATCTCGGAAAATGTATTGTATTAATTGCCGTAAGGAGAGTGGCCAGGAAGCTCGGTCTACATCCTCAGCACGTCTCATCCCATAGGTAGCAGCGTATTTTCCCAGAGCGTATTGGACATTACTGGCGTTACCATTTGCATAGCATCCTATATGGCAAAGGTATACATGGTATCGGAGGCACACCTCAGCCAACTGCAGATTTGCCGCTGTCTCGTTGAGCGCAAAGTTCACAGTCGCCGATTTTTTATATTTTCTGATGTTAGGTATTTGTGTATCTAGCTAGATACTTATGGTCGTTAATATTAAAACAAACAAAACAAACAAACAAACACACATCTCACTTCTGTCTTTTGCATATGCCATTCGGCGACTAGATGTCAATTTCACGGCTGTGTGAGGAGCCTGGTGCCCACCAACTCTATGCAGATTTTGGATTTGACTGCATCTAACTACATTAAACTATATTTAACCGTGTTTAACTGCATCTAACTGCGTTCAACTACATTTAACCGTCTCTAACTGTATCCAACTGCATCCAACTGCATCCAACGATAGTTCCCAATAGGTAGCTGATTAGCACTTTGGACACTGACCTTCTGTATGTATACTAGCAGGTAAAAAGTTTCAGGTTGTTTTTCGGCCCGGTGACAAAATCATACCCACTTCAGGGCTTCGACGCGTTTAGTAACAGTAGACTTGCTATGATCTAGAATTGATTACCAAAAGAGTAACCCAAACCTATTACCAGCAATCGGGTGCTACGTTAGCCATGGGTAATAGATGTATATAGCTAGTTAATTGTGGCGAATAACTGTGTTAGAAACTTACTAGTCCAGGAACCAGAGGCTTAAATGCACCGAAGATGACTTAGGGACGTGTCACTAGCTATCTTCTTTGTACAGAATGCATAATTTTTGAGCCACTTATCAGAGACGGTCGGGGCGCTTGTGCCATTGTTGATTTTGGCCCCCAAGCTGTTGGACGTGTTCTTCATGATTCTGCATGTGACAAGCTTTGCAGTTGGTAGCATCCCACGCAGCGTTGTGGCCGGTTGCTATTCCTGCTCCAAGCGGCGATCGGCGCTCACAACAAGAATGTAGCAAAAAGAGGCTGCTGGGGCAGCGATGTATAGCCAGATAGTGCTGCTTCATGAATACACATTTTGCTGGCGCTTAGGACAATATACATGTATGCTGTATACATGTAAGGCTGCACTATGAGGGTAAAGACTTGGGGGGCAGACTCAGAGAATGGAGCCTGGTAACCGCGCAGATAGCGATTCCAAGTCGCCTCTTCTCGGTCTTTTCCCACGCAGCCTCCACGGAACTTTCGGCTCTGCAAACATGTTGGCGCTAGTTACATGTATGAGTGGCGCCATACAGATAAGTCTATCACCTGTGTGGATTAGCCGCAGCACATGCTCGGTCTTTTGGGAGCGGATAAGTTCCAGCTCCGTCTTTAGGATCGCGCAAGTTGTAAGTTAGGACAGACTACTATTGGTGCAATTATTTGTTTCAGAAAGACGGATGTGACTTACTATACAATATTGATAGATCAGTACCACGATGTAGATCGGGACCCCCATCAGAGATTCTTACAGCAGTGCGGCCCTGAATTGGATCTCCAAAGAAACTTAAAGGGAACACGCGACCACAACGGCCAGTACACATAGGGCTATGTTGCCCTGCCGCTTCGATGCCTGTCCTAGCTAAAAATGAGCGCCACTTGGTCATCTAGATGTAGTGAGGTTCATATTTAGCGTTATGTACGTAGTAGAAAACGATCAATTCATTGATCGGCCTGCTGGATATGCAAACTTCGTGAGTAATTGACAGCGTTAGGTCTGAACTTTCCTGCATTACTGCTTGAGATAGATAACCAAGGCGGATGTTTCTGAGGTTCATTACCTGCACCAACCCTGCACTTACATGAATACACGCCCAACAGTTAGCTGGATAGTAACATAGTAGTGCTTCAGAGGCGAACTCCGCGAGGCTCATTAAAATGAGGACTTCTGTTCCACTGGAATAAGGCGATGCTACCCTACGACATGAAATGGGCTTAAGACGGCTGCCCAGTAGCCAAGAAAGTTTTCTTCTATATGCTCTTAGTCTAAATCAGAGCTACTTCATGATTGATCCTTAAAAATAATTACCATCGACATTTTCGTCGATTGTAATCGCGCCATAGAGCAAAGCCCCGCCATTCATCTAATTGATTACTCGAAAACATATGTACAACACCCCACTACGATCTTCACAGATCGAGAGTCTGTTGTATTTACGTATAGCCCGCATTACTATTCTGAATTCTTGTCAAATCATGCAACAACACATCAAGGCAGCGCAATGCCTGAGTAAGCAGGAGCGCAAACGTCTGCAAAATCGGATCGCACAGCGAGTATATCGTAAGGCCTTTTAACCTCAAACAATAGAAAGTATATGATCGAAAGTCAATGTGACTAACTTAAAACAAATCCCTCCATAAAACAGGCCAAAACCAGAAACAAAGAATCCTGGCTCTTGAAGCGGCCGCAAGCCGGTCCTTAGATACATCTTTTCTTTCCCACTCAACGCTTCCCACTGAAATTCCCGACGAACCTTCAATACTATCAGCACCCATAAGCGATAGTATTATAGATGCACCAAATGCCTGTCTCACTGGCCTAGAGGCGGATATATCTGGAATGGAACATGGCGATTGGGAGGCTGATTGTGATTGGAATGGAACGAATGATGCCACTGCCAAAGTCGAGAGAGTAACAAGCACGCGGCAAGGTGCTACAGCTCTCCATATTGCAGTAAAAACAGGCAATGATGAGATGGTACGCTTCCTCATTGGTCGAGGAGCTGATCTCAGTAAGCAGGACTCTCGGGGCAATATGGCCATACACGTTGCTGCAAGACTGGGACATGTAGGACTTCTCAAATTGCTCATTGATCATTCGGCCAAGACAGACGAGGTTAATTTCTTGGGCCAAACTCCGCTGTATTTGGCTGTACAAAGCGAAAGCAAAGACGCTGTTCAACTTCTTTTGGGCGCAATGGCTGATATTAACATCAAGGATTCGATGGGCAACTCGATACTGCATATAGCCGTGGAAACCGGCTCGGTCCCAATAGTAGATCTCTTACTGTCTAGTGGTGCAGATACCAATGCTTGAATTTCTACTGCTACACTTTCGAGGCGAACGCTCCATGGTTCCTCATGGTGGGGGTGGTTTCAAATTGCTTGTATGCAGCAGCCCCTCATTTTATTGGGTCTGTAAATGTAAATAAAATCGCTCGATATCTGACTTTCACAACTTGGAGGAGCTCATTGTTCTGGATGCAGTCATACTCTTTGCACATAATGCAATGTAAGACAATTGAAAATTCAGAATTGTGACCTCAGGAGCAATCAAATATAGTTAAACTTATAACACTTAAAGAGAGAAGAGCTAACTGAAGTAAAGACCGATTGAAGGTAAATACTAAAGAACAAGTAACCTATGATAGGTTTAATTCTTGTGAGAAAGGATAGAAGTCTAGTTCTCTGCCTAAAGATTGGGTCAAAATCGTCATTTCATCCTCGCTTGCCCCTTTTGTAAGCACTGCATGGCGATACCGACGGCCATTTGCCGTATTCTCCGGATCAAGTTTAAACGTTGCATTAAACACGTCGGCAGCATAAACAAGAGAACTAACACAAAGCGAAGAAATGATATCTATTAGCAAGTATATAGGTTTATTAAACGAAGAAACGAATGAATGAATGACGACGGAGGGCATGGAGACAAGAAGCTGCTCACAATAAATAGCTGTAATAACCAGCGTCATAGTCTTCGATAAGATGCCTAAAGTTGGCATAACCATGTCCCCAAGCCCAATCGCCATTCACGGCTTCGCCTCCAGCCAGGGGGAGAACTTCGCGGCGCAGTTGATTCCACTTGACAGCCAGTTCCCACTTCTCGGCTTCAGTATTGTTAGTGATCTGATGGACCAACATGTCGAACATACCGATGGCCGTTTGACGCAGGTAAAACAACGCGCTATTGCAGTGCTTGCTACGAGTTAGATTTGCAATCTCCGAATCAGACAACCTCTCTGTTGGCCTGGGCTTGCCATTCGCCGCTTCGCTCCATGTTTGTAAGTGGTCCGCGGATAGGTATGAATAATGTCTACCTAGGCGCTTTAGTTGTGATGGTGTCCAGCACCAGTTCTCTAGTACCTGACTAGGCATCTCTGCAAAATCAACAGGCGACGCAGTTCCGTGAAAGCATGCAAACTTGGTTTGGGCCACGAGCTCGTGGATACCATGTCCCAACTCGTGGAACAACAAGATAACATCACGGTGCTGAAGGAGCGTCGGGTTAGTGACGCTAGGTTTCTCGAAGTCAAACAGCAGTGCAGTCGCAGGATATTGACGCGATCCATCCGGTAGAATACAGCCCTAAGTATGGCTAGTTAGCTACTAGACATATCTATCACCATCTTCTCCTTCGCCGTCGCTTCTAGACGCGATCGAATATATTCGTCTTGCACTTACTGGTCGTATTGGCACATTACATGCATTTGGGGGTTTGCCTTTCCTATCGTAGAGGTCAAGGTACAGATAGCCAACAAAGTCGCCACCTTCTTGCTTATCGTTCCATACGCTGAAAACTCTCACATCATCATGCCAGAGCATCTCGGCGCTCTTATAATACCCGAGAGTGACGCCGGAATCTTGGTTTGGTTTGGTAATCTCCGTAAAAACCAAGCCAAAAAGATGCTGGTTGATTTTCAGCATATATTCTATAGTTGACAGCAGGGGGAAATATTCTGCCAGCTGCTGCTGATCCAATTCATACTGTCTCTCCATCATGAGCCGATTATAAAAAGCATGATCCCAGAAATAATAGTTTCCATCAAAAGACTCTCTACGAGACTCGACATCATTCTTTTTCATGGCTTTCAAATTCTCAACCTCAGCATTTGCTGTCTTAGAGAGCATTGAAACCAAATCGGTGAGGAAATTGTTGACAACATCTGGTGTTTTGGCCATTCTATCCTCGAGTCTCAACGCAGCATGGCTGGTGTAGCCAAGTAGACGAGCACTTTCGGCACGGAGCAGGATGAGTTCTTTGAACACAAATTCATTTCCGCGACATGTGTTTTCACTAGCCATATAGTAAAGCCTTCGTATATCGGCATTTGTGGCAAACATCATAACCTGAAGGATTGTTCTGGAGTCGCATCGGAACCTCTGCTCGTCCCCAATGGTGTCGCTCTTAAATCTAGATAAAACTTCGTCCGGTACCCCTCTCAAGTCCTGGCGGTTAAGCCAGACTTCCAGACGTGAGTCTGCCAAATTCTTTTTGTATTCAGCCTCTAGCACGGCTATACGGGATTGCATAGTCTGGAAGTGCTGGCGGGAAGAGTCTTCTGAGAGCAAGAGTCCATTACGGATATGGCCCTTGTACTTCTTTTCTAGATATCGCCGCGATTCGCAATCCAGCTGCTCACCTATGCGTAACACGGTATTTATCAAATTAAAAAGGTCATTATTTAATGAGGTTTCAAGTTCAAAGTTTTCAAACATAGTAGCCGCGATGTTAGCAGCGTCTTGCAGAGCTGCATCTGGCGAGAAATTTCTGTAACTTGTGATGAGCCACTTGTCTGCCGAAACGGCATTTTCAGCCTGTGCGAGTGGCAGAAGGACATTGGAAAAGGTCGCGTCTTCTGGTAGCACCGTATCTATGATCTGTCTCTGCGTCTGACGAAGTCTTTGGATCAGCTGTCGAGCGCATTCGGTGATGGATGATGGTGTTGCTCCGAAGAGCGGAGGCGGCTCTGGTGGATGAGACATGGCGATGCGAACGGTTGATTTGGGCGGCAAGTTGGACGTGTTCACTGACACTGCTAATTAAAAGGCCCTCGCAATTCCGGCTGAGGGAACTTGGATTCACGTGTTTGCCAATACTACTTTACTCATGCCTATGTTTGGCACGAAGGGTCACGTTATTAGTCCCCCTAAAGGCCATCCATGCATATATTTAGCAAAGAACTTGGTCATAACACATTCGCTTTTGACCTTTGTGGGGTGGGGTTTATTATGTGAGATGATCCCAACATGCGGCCAAATCAGGCGGGGATGAATTACTACCCACGTAGGTCCGCATTGTGAGCAACGTAATGGCTTGCGGTCCTGGTCGCATTTGGCTCTAGTATTTGGTAGATTGTGACACACCACACTGCATGTACCTACGCAGCATACTATTTCGCAGCTCACCTAGTGCTGTCGTAATGCTAGCACTTATATCTTCGGCCAGAACTCATGACCGCCGAATACAAAGCCGGTCTCTTACGTTTATTACACACAGACGTATGCGGGGAAAAAAGGGAGGGCACGCAGGCTGCTGGATCACGACTTAATCTTCTGCGGCAAACGAACATTGATACCCTCTATTAGAGGTTTCATTCGCTACATGTTTGACAAATTGGTAATAATCATGTCATTCTCCTTATTTTTCTTCCCGAGTTACCTGAAAGCACGACCCAAATACATACCCCTGCCATTGACCGAGACGGCCACAGTATCAGTTAGTCTAGATGATGAGATCAAGATGCCTGTTTTAGAGCCAAGCGACGCAACCGTCGGCCGCCCGAAGAAACCATTGCCCCATAGTGTCTACTTCCTCTTCATGTTTGCCCTCTTTTGCCTAAGTGTAGGTTTTATAGGAGGCGAGGTAATACAAGATCGTGGCCTGATTGCAAAATGGAGAAACGATTATACAAACAGCCCACAATGCGACAGCCCTTCTTACCGAAGGGAGTGGAGGAGTTTAAGCAAAGACGACAAATCCGCATATCTTGCCGCTGTAAAATGCTTGATCGCGTCGCCGTCCGTTACGAGGAGCAACGGGGATCTTTACAATGACTTCCCTTTTGTGCATTTTCAACACGCTAAGAATAGTAAGTTTTCTTCAAGCCTAGCGCTAGCACGAGGTCCTTACCTGTTGTTTCATCACGGCTGTGGCTAGAGACAATATTCTTCTCCAAGAAACGCGCTCATCAAGTTTTTATTTGATAGTTCATTATACACCTCTCTTTCTTCCCTATCATCGGTACTTCCTTCATTCATTTGAAACTAAACTAAAGTCTGTCTGTGGGTACAATGGGAGTTTGACGTAAGTTTCAATGTCAAACCTTTGAATAATATCAGAACTGACAGTCTACGACCATAATGAAGATATTGGGACTGGAGCCTTGACTGGTACGTAATGCCAACCTTTTATTCCTGCGCGCCATATGCAGAGAAGGTTATTTCCGCCTAACACTCGCTCAAACCATAGGGAATCCTTAGGAACATCTCCAGTCTTCTCTAAAGAATATGGTTTTGGAGGAAATGGTAACCCTCGTGTTTATTCACCGTCTACGGAAAGTTACTGTCTCACTGAAGGCCCGCTTGCCAATCTACAACTCGCAAACCATTCCTCAGATGAACACACCTTGGATATGCACTGCCTTTCGCGTGACTTCTTCGGCAACAATCTGACAGGAATACTGTCTGGCGATGGACTACAACCGGCCATCATTGAAAATATTTTGCATCAGTCCGATTATCAAACTTTTCGCAACGCACTCGAGCACGGCCCCCATAAGGAGATCCCGAATGGCATTGGTGGCGATTTTATTACTTTTGCTGCCCCCAGTGATCCTCTATGGTATCTTCATCACAGGTACAATTGTCTTTACCAGCCCAATCTTTTCTCTCTCTGAATCTCTAGAGTCGTGTTAGCCAACTAATCATCTTTGATCCTCTCACAGTCAGCTTGACAGACTATGGTGGTTGTGGCAGCGCGCTGATCCCACTGTGCGGCTATGGGATTATGGGGGACATTCTACGAAAGGCCAAGAGACACTTAAGGCTTCGATAAAAGATATAATTTCTATTTCGCCTCTCGCACCAGATGTTAGGGTTTCTGATGTCATGAGCACCGAGTCAGACGTACTATGTTATCGCTACCTTTAACGAGTGAAAATTGACGAGGGAGCGGCTTTTTCAGTTTGCATGTTCATCGTCTTATTAGCTTTCTAATTATGTTGATCCTTGTCCTGACACCTTCGACTATTATTGTATAATCTGTTATTTCTCTGTTCTTGCCCTGTTTCACATGTTGGCATTTATGAACCTGTAATACAGGTTGCCCACATATTGGCAGAAGCAACCGCAAGCTATATAGCCTGTGTAAAGCGAAAATACCAATAGTCTACGTTAATAGTCTCGAGTAACTGAAGAAAAAGAGCAGTCAGCTTTTGGGATTCTCCACTTCTGATAGATACCAATAGCTTAATCAATATCTGAGGAGTTGACGTGTCATGCTGAATTCAAATTTCCTATATTTGTAGGGATTTGTTATATATTGCCATAGCTATGTACATCAATTTTCTCTAACGGCTGTGTGTGCAAGAATTGTAAAAGATATGTCTTGGACTTAACAGCCTTCATCGTAAGATGCGATACCTATATCCGTATCGATGTTCTTCCAGGCCGGATCAAATTTGGCAGAATCCAGCACAATCATAACGCAGTGCCTGATATGACCGTAGCCTGACAGACGAGGAAAGGTCTGGGTTCCGTCGCGTATCGCTTGTGCCATGCTGAGGAACGTGTATAAACAATGGGTGATGTGTTCGCGCCGTTCCACGTAAATGGGCACCTGGTTATTGAGTGCACTTGTCCAATTATCCCCTCTAACCTCAAGGAAGCCTTGTACATCCATGTAATATCTCCATGGTTCTGAATCGGCCGTTATAAACTCATCACTCGCATATCGCGGGCATGAAGAAGAGAGCCATGCCCATGTCATGAGATCAAATCTACAGCCGAGCGCTATTGCCTCAGCTTCTGTGTTGCCACAAACGCGTTTGATCGGGCTTGTCCCATTATCACTGCCATTCGCGTTGATATGAGCACTGTGGCCACTGTGACCGTCGGCGGGTTGATAATGTCCATGTTCACTTTGATGTTCATGTTGATGTTGATGTTGATCAACATGACTTTTTTGGTGCGCTTCTGGTGCTGACTTAATTTGTCCTATGGTATATCCAAGACCAAATGCACCAATAAGCATTCCTATGCCAAGAAAACAAGAGAGCACGTAGGTAAGTCTCCTCTCCCGATGGAAGCCATTCCTCCATTTACCGCAGCGTTCTTTGGGACGTAGTGATAATTCGTCATCCGATTGCGGATCTGAACTATCAGTTCCATGAACTCTCTCATAGCTAGCTTTCCACGGGGGATACATTTTAGCAAAAATTGTGCGTAGGATGAGAAGATGTTAAGCAGATGATTTGAGTGGTATAAATTGAAGGAAAGAATGCTTTGTCTGTTATCCTAAACGAGCTCAAGTGAGCGATAACCTGTGCTGCATGTAGCTCAACAATCAGAGTCCTTTATGACAGTTCAAAAAGAGCCTATACCACTTGCCTCATCTATCTTACCTTCTTAGTTTGCCCCAAATACATGTAATGTCACGTTATTACATGGCTATTATGTGTGTTGAGGTGGGGCAGGATTTAGCCAACGTAAGCCAGCTACAGGAAGTTCAACCTATGACCCATGTGCGGAAATGCTAATGAGATCAGCCATGTCATATGAAAGTAAATGCATCCTGTACTCGAGTGTATAACATCCAGTCTCTCACTTTGGTAAAACATTTTTTGGCAGGTTAATTATGTAATGCGTTGTAATTCCACTTCAGAAGCACGCCTCCCCACCTAGGGGCAAAATTTGAATAGGTGATCTCCAAGATCATGCTGTGTGTCATCCGTGTAGTGGTCTGCACTTCAATGATTAATCATTGGGATGAATGCGTGATGATTTAGTCATAAGTAAATGGTAGGAATTATCGAAGTAGGAGCATGTCACTCTCAACATAACTACAATACCCACACCTGTACCAATACGCCTACGAGTATCTACAAACCCTACAAGAGCAAATCCGAAATTCATTACCGAAAAGCGGTCATCATGATGCCGCCTAATAATGAAACAAAACCATTTCTAACAGATATGAGCGATCATGATATCCAGCAACACAAAATTGGGCGTGCCAAACAGCTCTGGCATAGTAGTTGGACACAATCAGCTCCTTCGCATAGCAGAGCGTTTTGGCTCATGTCTCATACATTGGCATGTTCAGTGACCTCCCTCATGTGGTTGGCAATCTTGTGGTTGTCAAGGTCTGCAATGTCTCCTTGGATGTGCTCACAATTCTTATCCTCCGTTGCTCAACCTCACTATCATCCGGGCTTAGCCACCGACGTGAACCACAACTTTACTGCTCATTCCCAGCTTCTCACATGCGGCCACTCAACGCAGGAGGCCAAAAGCATGGGCTGTAAATACGACATTCTTAGCAACCATTGGATACCTGGAGTCTGCATGGATGAAGATGCGGTGAAGGAGTATCAGATGGACGGCTCATGGTATGGTTACGCCGACAGTAATAGGACTCAACTCCTGAGCTATGAGTCGATGGGTGACATGGACCTTTACTACACTTCCATGAGAGACCACATTGTTCACTGTGCTGTGCTCTGGAAGAAATAGTTCAGGGCCTTCTATGTCGAGCGCAAGAATATCGATACTTTGATTGGAAGTTATGACCACACCAGTAAGTTAGTACATAAAGTTTTCGTCGGTTTCGAGCATCCAATATCTAACAATTAGCCTGCCGCAGTGCATTGTGCTCAATTCTTGATGGACATGACTAACAACGGGCCGGATTACTGGAACATGCCCATCGAGGTTAACGTAGCATGGGCTGGATGCCGGGTTAGATCTTGAGATTTTAGTAGCTAAGATGCAATGTTCTACCAAACAAAAAGGTTAATCGCTGGAACATGACTTGATACGTATTTTTTTTTTCTTTCGAGAAAGCCTTGTACACTCTAGTTGGCTTGGAGCATGTACTGATGGGGCACTCATTTTAATACTGCTACCTCGGAGATCAGTTTTTCGTTGATCAATTGAAAATTCGATCAAGATGATCGAAGGAAATTTCATTGAGTATCACTGCTCTTGCGACAATCCTTAATATTTTTCCCAACTCAATTCATAATAAACTAACAGGTACTCAGCCGGAGTGTGTCATAATATCGGCACTGTAATGAGTGTAATCGTACACCCCATCTTTCAGACACCAAAAGGACTGGATGTCTTGAGAAATAACTAGTATTGAATAATTTGGTGGGGTAAAGAACACTATAGTGAGGCTTTCCGTCCAGATCTCATCTAAGGGATTTTGTATGAGTTCACAGTACGCAATGAGGAGCCATGTATGCGAATATATTACAGCTCAGCATTGGTGCATCTTATATACAGGTCATAAGGTTCATATGATGGTTACCTATGCCTATTGGTGATGTGAAATGGATAGACGTAAAGGAAATTTGTGTGTGCGAGATACGCGTACCGGTTTACATCTCGTAGATGACCAATGGCAGAAGTTGGATGAACATATGCTAATATATAAAAAGAAATTCACAACACAACATCATATACCACAGCTTTCCTCACCCACTTATCTTGATGACAAATATCAACTTAATTAAAGTATTGCGATTAGTTTGTAAGTTACAATTTGTACTACATTTCTTATAAAACATATATGTAATATCCGGTTGGAGAGATTATCCAGCTAAGCAAAGCACTGACTTATTCAAAAAGCAGAAGCATCAAGCAAAAATGTCCTTTGGATACATAATGTCACCCACGTAAAATGCTGTATTCTTTTATCTGATTCAGTTAGAAGGTGCAGCGCCACTTTTCCCTCACGTCAATTGACCCAGAGCAGCAGCATGCTCATCCCATTAGACGCATCACGTAAGAAAAGTGTCCAGCTTACGGCAGTAGAGAAGTAGATGAATGTACATCAGCTTTTCACCTGTATCTTCCGCGAGGTTTTGTCAAAAATACCATTCTGACCTATGCTAGATCGCAACCGGTATTCCTTAGCTTTTCACAGATTTAATCATGATGGATGAGCTGGAGTCAAACCAGCTTCTTGGTGGCGACAACGGCGAGCCAGTGCAAAAGAAACAGCATCACAAAAAAAGCGGGCGTCTCATACTTCTCACATCTCTCTTAGTGAACCTTTTTTTAACCTGCTTCATTGTCATATACTTGATTTGCCAAAATTATACACCAAGGACATCTTATGAGAAAGGCTTTCATACTGATCTAGGTAAGTTTTTATTGAAATATGATCTATTACTTCTACCATACAATTGTCACTTTTGATTTCACGCTCTTCTGCGTACATGAGTTTTTACTGATTTATTTGGTAATTCTTTCTTGGCTAGGACCTATCAAATCTAAGATAGGACTAATTCAACAGCGCTTTACCGGTGGGGAGGAAATTGATCACAACGGAAACTTCGTCAAAGATCAACGAGGCAGCGAATACATCGGATCTCCGTCTCCAGAAGTCGATGCCGTTTGGGATAGACTTTTGCTAGGTATGAGTGCCGCTTTCGAATTTAACTCCGTGCCGATCTAATTGGTATTAATTGAAAGTAATTTCGGCTGGCTAATTGATCTATTTAAAAAAAAAAAAAAGGCATGAATATCGATATACCCGGTGACGCAAATGCAGTGATGGCTGGGAAAACGTACCAATGGACAGAATCCGGATCGTATTTTACGGGCCTGGAGGTTTTCCATTCTCTTCATTGCCTCGTATGTATATATATGCTAGCACACCAAAATGTGAGATGAAGAGATACTGAAATGAAAGTGCAGAATCGACTTCGACAAGCACTGTATCCCAAATACTATCACACTGTCAGACTACCAGGTGATAAACCTTGGGACGAGCATATCGGTTAGCAGCTCTTTTCATATGAGGGAATAATACATTCCGCTAGAGATGGCTTTTTACTAACGGTCTATTGGGTTGTTAGGACACTGCATTAACCATTTGAGACAAGCAATACAATGTCATGGGGATCTCACGCCGATGGAATGGATACTCGTGGATAACAAGCTGATTTTGAGAATAAATACGCTTCATACATGTAGAGATTTTGAAAGCATTCATAGATGGGCAGTACAACAGGTGACAAAGTATGATAGTATTGAAGCATTGAAGAATGGCAGTATCTTCATCACTGATTAGGGAAAGATAAGCTTGAATACAAATGTTAGCTTACTGTGATGAACCGGTATCTATAGATTAGTATAGACAGTTATTCCTAAAGGACAAACCTGTGGTTCTAGGTTTATGTTAGCGAAGCGGTCGTGATACTTACCGTATTTCGACTACAACGAAACTTCACTAGTATGATATCATCCCTGCTCTCTGTCTTCATCACGCTCCCTGTGAAGCATAGTCCTCAGGAGGGCTGAATGCTCCACAAAGCTGGCTTCAATATAGTCTTCGGATTATTTCATTGTTCTTCAAGATTCGTAGTTGTAAATGTGTAATTCAAAATAATACATTGCTACAGCACTCCTCATCATTTACTGTTTCTCAATTCCATCTTCTTTTAATGGTCCAAGATAGCAGGAGGGATATTTAGTGAATATAGTGACACTGATCTCATCCACTGCCCTATGAGTCCGTACTTGGTGATTATCTGGCGGTGGCAACCTTTTGGAAGAACCAAGGTTGTCAACAAAATCCAGAAGAAACATTGAACAATGATTCGTATGGCTGAATTCAGACACATAGGAGTCTAACCAGGCCCCAGAAGTCGAGCCTGGCTTCAAATGAAGCCGCTCCATTTCCAAGCCACGATGCAATTTCCTCCACATAAAAATGCAATGGACGATATGATACTCAACAGAAACATAGAGTTGGGTTTCGTTACCCAGAAATGCCACCTCTTGTGAGACAGGTTTCAAATTGTCGGGCGAAATGGATCCATGAGCAGGAGATACAAGGCGGTACCACGTCCAGTTGTATTTCAGGAATTCAGAAGTAAGAGTGTTATCATAACACTCCCACGGTAGCCATGAGAATGAAAGAAGATCGAACGTGCAATTGCGAGCAAGAGCTGTCTCTGGTGTGTCCCCGCAAGATACATGAATAGGAGAAATCGTGTGTAGATTAGGGTCATGATCATGGGTTATTGTCTGTGGGCTCAAGGAGACCGGAATAAAAGACAAGAGGCGTAGGGCAATCGAGAGCGCCAGTATGGTCATGGAAAAAAGAATGGTGATTATGATGAAGTGGGTACAGCAGCCTCTTTTTCCAACTTTGTGAGAACTGAGGGGCGTTTTCACGCCGTCCTCCATCTCGCCTCTGTTAGAAAGAAGGTGGTCGTTGACTGTCATGTTTGGTAACATTACACATCGATTGATTGGTAGTATATACTGGCTCGGATCGTGAATTGCGAATTGTCCTGGTGTGAAATCAGTCACGTTCCACGCAATTCGAGTAACCACATGGAGGTACTAGGAGAAGAGAGATTACGCCCCTCTCAGTTAATACTCTGTTCGCTAGATAAATTATCTTGTCTCAAATAGGCCAACCAAAAAATCGCGTCCTGTCAAATCATTGTGTCATGTTGCCTGTAAGATCATGCCTTTCGTTGCTACGAAATATGCAAGTCCCTCGACTCATTATGTCATGTAAGGTGATGGGGTTGGTGGGTTGTTAGCCACATGAGCTAAGTCATCTTGATGCAAGGTAAGCGCTCATGTGTGAGAAAAGGGCCAGGGCCTGACTACTAGCAAAAAGGAAAGAATTGGTTTCAGCCTGCACAAGTAAGAGAGAGCTTCCTACGGCATCATTGCCATCAACCTTTGCCAGGTTAAATATCTGCGCCGACATGTTGCATTCCTACATGTACTAATGCACCACGGATTAATAAGATCTAATTAATATGAACCGTCTGTCTTTGGCTTTCTACGAGCATTCCACATAACTACATAGTAACCGGATTTCACGACTGTCAGAATTTCGTAGTAATGCTTGGAGCTTTATTTCTATGAGAGAGAATAGAATAATCCCGCGGTTAACTCATTGGGACTCTTCCACGATGCACCATTTATTAGTTATGAAAGTCCATCCAATTTGCGTAATCTGTCTGCATTAGCCGGCCATTTATTTTCATCAGCGGCATCTCGAGGCAATGACCAATCTCGTAAGGCCTCATAATTGCGACAGGTATGATCCGTGTCAAAGGAAGGGTTGATCCAATTCCTATTCTTCGACCATCTAATTGGTATTAGAGTCATATCTCCGGTGCACATGAGGCTGAGTCGCAATGCATCAATGCAATGTTCTGTGTAAAGAAAAGGCGTGAGCGTCATGTTCTTATCACCCAAGTGGAAGACGCAAGACCAGGAATACAGGAATCGCGCCACAGGAGTAATTCCATTCTACGCGACACATACCAAGATGGACTTGTACTGGAAAGTGATCAATTTCTGGATAATGCTCGATGTATAAGGCTTTTCGAAGCATGTTCTATAGATAGTTGTCAGCTTCTTGTAGTACACCTTGGCCTGCTGGAATCTAGTCAAAGCATACCAGGCAATGCAAATCATGAAACACAGTCACCCTGTCCCGTTAGTTAGAGCTTCACTATTGTGGCATGGCAGCATCAATTCTACTCACTCTGCCATATACAAACCCGTCGCAGGGTCAAGCCACAGTTCAGTTCCTAAAAGCTTCTGCTCCGATGGCGTTACAAAGATGTTAACAGCTGAAGATAAGCCAGAAATTGTTTATTACTCAGTAAAGCACTGAGTTTTAAATGCTCTCGTTCTCAAACCAAAATATAACTGAGCTTACCTCCCAATAAATTTTCCCAATTATTGTCAATCTCAGCGCTAGGTTGCCCAACATAAGCTGGCTCAGTAGGTGGGCGGTACGCGAGATGAGAGTCGTTGAATTTTATAGTGGCATCGAAACGAACCGTGTGCAATCCAGCACTGATGTCGGCTTTTGCAGCCACTTTTTTCATGCTTAAGTCAGTTCACGGTTCGTTGAAACTAGAGATTGAAAGGACGATATGTCCGATTGCCAGCTAACATACCAAAATCACTCTCTCTCCAGTTTTGAATTATCGTTGTCGTTGCGGTCTCGTGAAACACGGCATGCAATATTTGAGAGGCAATCAAGCAAATGCCCAGTGTTAAAGAGATCGCCCACGGCACCAGCATAAAAACGCGCGACCTAGTTTCCCCTTTACAGTTGCAGCTGCAACACACGTCTTGCCCCGAGGAAGGGGGGGGATTAAGTAAAGTGGCCTCGACGAAAGTCAATGATTCACTACTGAATCGGGATTTACTGCTCATCGTGCCCTGACCTCTAAGTTGCATCGAAACTTCAATGAAGCAAGAAGTTTGGAGTCTTCGTTAGAGGATGAGAGGAACTCTACATCGTCAAAGACATGAGACCTGGTTTTTGCGGCACAAAGGATGTGTTTACATGAAATATGGATGTGGTGAATATTTACTAGGCTTGCGTTTACGGCCTGTATGGCATACTGATTGATAGAGCTATAATGCGACGGCTTACGTTGGCTGCCAACGTAAGCGATGTCAGACTACAGTTTTTCGCTGGGAGGGAACCAAAATGCCAACATCATCAAAGCAGCTGTAATTTTCTGAGAATAGTGATATCTTTAGTTTGTGTACTGTGCACGATCTGGACCATCATCTTCACTTCGAGAGACTTCGTTTGCTACACAACTCTCCTTCGCGCATCATTGCAATATCTTTCACATAGCGATCATGTCTTTTCGATGGAACTGGTCTTATGTAAAGATCACAAAAGACGCGATGGAAGAAAAAGAGGAGGACAGCTATAGCGATTCGAATTTGTGTTCTAATGACACCATGCAAACCCGACACTGTTCTTGGAGGCTGCTGCATCTTTCACGCATTGGGCAACCGTGCGTTATCGCCATAATTTTCATCTCTGTCGTGTTCCTAGGAATAGGATTATCGGCAGTCATATTCCACAAAGCTTCCTCTTCACAAACTACCCTTCGTCACAATAATCTGTGTGGAAACTCAACCGAGGACGCAATTTCTCTCGGCTGCTCATTCAATCAACTTCTCTGGGCCTGGCTTCCGGCTCATTGCCCGCATTACGCCAACGAAGATTTTACCAAGGCTGAAAATTGGACTTATTACCAAGATTTCCACGGAAATGGAGAAATCTCTTCGGAGCATGTCATTGAAGCAATGGATAAAGGTATCAAGCTCTGGACGCAGCAAAGAGAGCACGTTACCCATTGCGTGTTCATGTTTCTTGGCCTTGGGCAAGTCATCAGAGACGGTTCTCCATATACGGAAAAATTAACCGACTACACTCACATAAAGCATTGAGTTGAATTGATCCTTGAGGTGGTCAGGCAAGATAGCGACTGGCATAACATTACAACTTCAGTACCTGGAGTAGACTATAATTCAAGCTGCTAATTCTAATTGACATGATAAATATTTTCTACTGTTCCTCTTTGACAATTAAATCGATCTCAGCATTAAGTTCCATCGTAGGCTGAGCTAATAAAGACGTGGATTTTACAACTGACAAAATAAATGTATAATTTGGATGAATAGCGAGTCTACCATGTGAATTGTATCTGTGAGTATTTGATTGCCAAAAGGTATGAATTGACCAGTGATCATCAATCATGTTCCTTGCCTCTCTTTCTGTAGGCTTGGTAACACACCACGAGAGACCTATATCTCAATTTAGATTTGAACCCCGATAGAATGTACTATGTTAATATGTAAAATCGCATAGGATTTTATGCACAGTCAGTATATGATCGCGGACCTCGCTGGGTTTCTGAGGTTTGGATTATGTTGACCTCACCCGAGACGTAAGGAGCGGCTTATGTGGTCCGAAGTATAGTAATTCTGATATTTTACATGTATGTCACGTAATCCTCAAATCTTTTACCTCATAAAAGGAGTGGCTAATGCAGCCTCAAATATTTCGATCAGTTAAATAACTTCCCATCGCAACTAGATTTACTCCCACCAAATACTTTTCCAAGCAACGATCCAACTTCCTCATCAGCATACCACATACAACTTTGTCTTTACATTCCACATAAAATTACTCACTAATTGCAACTATGCGTGTGTCCCTGATTGTTCTTCTTGCTGCTGCTGCAGTCAGCTGTGCAAGCCCAATTCTGAACCGTAAGGGAAAAGAGATTGTATCTTGCAGAATTTATACACAATGTTAAAATTTAAACAGCTCAATCCGACATTGAACAGCTTGAACAGCATGATGCTCATGACAAGCGTGAGCCCCAAGCTGGAAATCGAAATGGTCAACAGGACTACATCAAGCGCGAGCCCCAAGCTGGAAATCGAAATGGTCAACAGGACTACATCAAGCGTGAGCCCCAGGCTGGAAATCGACATGGCCAACAAGATTATATCAAGCGTGAGCCCCAAGCTGGAAATCGACATGGCCAACAAAATTACATATAGAGCAACCGCGTATCTTCCAGTATAATCCAGATAACTTCGTTGTCTGACGGAGGAAGTCGGCCTACATGGAGGAATCGATTGAACGCTGGAAGTTGACAGCAGGTGGGGAGAGCTCCTTATCGAAGAGTTGACAGTGTGTCTGGTTCCGAGTTTGGGTGTAGTCACCATGCCGTTCGTGGGCGAAGTGCCTTGTCTTTAGTAGATAAAAATAAGATATTTATATTTGCTCATTGGTGGCTATCTTAGGTCGACTCTGTTAATAAATGTGCTTCTTCCTTATATATATAGCATAAGGGTTTGTTTGTTTATTTATTTTAAACTACGGATTGATTCTGGATTTTGAACCAAAGGATGGGGCGCAGCGCTCTATATATTTTTCATCAGTTTTATATATATTTTGGACTATTTTAGTCTTTTGTTTTCCTTTTCCTTTTTTTCTTCTATATATCAACTCTTCTCCCGACCTTGTCTTTTTATCCACTGCTATCTCGAAGCCATCTTGCCGCCTGCGACTCTTGCGCACCTTTTGAAGTACAGCACGACTACTACATCTACCACATTCATCACTGCTACTGTAAGCTTGAAATATAATCGTAGCATTAATAAACCTAGAAAACCAACGTGCATCTACTACACAAATCGTGATGACCATCCATCTTCTCCTCCGTCGCGCATCACTGTCCAATCTTGTACGGCTTCCCAGACTTAAGAATCAGACTAGGCTTCCTCTCAGCCAAGTCCAAAATCATCTCTGCAAAATAACTGTTTGCCCACGCGAACCACGGACGAGTGTACACACTCGAGTTGTAAATGTTGACGCTCTCATGGATCAATCCCAGTCCGCTAGTGTTCTCCAAGATGAGTTCCAGGCGCTGCTTGATCTCCCTGTCATCATCCGTGCCGAAGATGGCAGAAATTTGACTCATGGGCCAAGGATAGGTGGCGTTGACGTGAGGACCTCTATTATATCATTAACGGTTAATCGAAGTCGCACTATTAAAAGTAGGTGTAGAAATCCACTAATCTTTAACTTACCCAATGCCACTCCACGTCTTTCCTACAGCATAGTACGGATTCGCTCGCGAGAACATGGCGGCTTTAGTCTTCTGGTAGGTAGGATCGCTCCGCTCCAAGAATCCAAGATACGGCAACGACACCAGGCTAGGTACGTTGGCATCATCCATGATGTATTGTGCTCCAATTCCGTTGGTTTCGTACGCAAAAATGCCGTTGGATGCGCGGGTATGCGCCCAAACGGCCTGCTTAATGGTATTAGAGTATTGTTGAAGTTGCTTAGCGAGGCTCCTCTGGGTTCTAATGGTGTTGAGCATGTCTGCAACGTTGGCGAGCTCGACAGACATCATGGCATTGTCAGAAGTGATAAAGTCTAGGTTGAATCGTTAGTAAATAATGAAATGACATGACGGACGCGTTTTGATGACTCCAAAACTCACTAAAGACACAGAGATCGTCCGAGGGCCTATGGCTCGAAGCAACCAAACCGTTTGCTTGCTTTGGTTCTCCATTGCCACTGTTGGGGACCATTGGAGAGAGTGCCCCAGCAGTGCCCGTCCAGTTGTAGTAGCTGATCCATTGAAAGTCATCCGACCAACTGCTCTGAGACTGTTCGTAAAGGACTCGAACAATCTGGTTCATTGCAGCATTCCCTAGAGATAGTGTTAGTTAAATAGCCCGAGAGATGGAGACACCCGACTTTTCCATGTCTCTTGTTTAGTGGTTCGTACAATTGTCATTGATAAAGGATGGGTCCTTTGTGTTGGCGTAGTAAGAACGCGTGATTTTGAGGAATCCAGCAAGAGAATCGAGTTCGTACTATTAATTGTGAGAAACCCTCCATTAAATAGTTTAGCAGCCATCATACCTTGCATTCAAATACCGTCTGGTTGTTGACAGGCCTGTTGTAAAGAGCGCAGGTGTTAATTTCGGATTGGCAACCTCGCAATTGGCAGGGGTGTATACATACGGGTTTACTATGACATTTGTTGCCCAGTCCTACATGTAGTGTCAAAAAAAAAAAAAATCCATACTGATTAGAATCGCACTCGATGACTTACATTCACACTTGGAGCAAGCCCGCTCTCTGGGGGTGGCTGAAACGAGCCTACATGCAATATCATTTGTTAGATGGATGCCTCTGTAGCAGGTGGGTGTAGTTAAACGCACCGCAGTATGGATACTGCGAAATGTATCGCGCCTCTGTGTTGATGACTGCTTTGACAAGGGCTTGGAGGTTCTTATCATGCGGAAGAAGCTTGTATAAATGGGCAAACTGGTTGCCGGTGTCGCGCAGCCATTGTGCACTTAGAAGATTAGTCAATTGATTTCGATCCACGATGATATTGGCATGTATACGTACGTGATATCCTAGCAGAATGTCAGACAAAAGGGTCCTGGCCGACGTAACATTGCATTGAGGAAACAACTTACACCAGTGATGATGAATGCCAGATTCAGCGACGGGTCAAAATACTTGACGGTAGTATCCAGTGTGGACGGAAAGGTATTCTCAAAAAGTCGAGCAAGATCTGGATCCTTGATCTGAGATTTCAAGTCGCTGATGACTTTCTATACATAGTGACGTTATTGTTAGCGACTCAATTGAAGCCATACACGTCCCATTTGGGCAACAGCTCATGTCGGCATAATTGTTGAAGCTCACCTCGACTGCTGGGCTCTTGAATGTTCTGCACTCCTCGCTCGGCCTCATGTAGGGCAGCTTCAGAGGACCAGACGAGTACGGTCCATGAGGCGATCCCGAAAAAGTGGTATAATCTGGACACGAGGAAGCCGTACGGCGGTGCGGTGGGAACTTCTGCCAGCTAGCAGACGCAGTTGCCGGGAACACGGCCAAGACGCCGAGGGCAGCGCTGAGAACGCTGTGAGGAGACATGTGTAGAGGCATCGCGACTCAATTAGGCACGGAAGATGTCTGCTGCTATAAAGCTATAGATGCAGCAATAACAATACTTTTAAAATGAAATCTGAGAAGAATCTCAAGCAAGATTCGCGGTACAGCGGAGGAAAGGCCCAGGTAAAGAGGGAGGGGCTGCAATCGTGAGACAGGTCTCACCGATCACCGCCCTTCTCTGCCTCTGTTCCGGGGCCAGCCATTTTATTTATCGTCATCTGTCTTTGCACAGAGTTACACCCAGATCCATTAGGTGGGGGAACCCGTACGGGCAATGGCGATCTTTCCCTTGGGAGCGCATTCTTGGGTAAAAAGCGTGCGGGGGAAGCGGGGAGAATTCAGAGGGAGAGGCATCACCAACAGGGTTTGTTTGGAAGGATGCAGATGCGGGCGAGTTGGATGTTATCCGGCATGACGATGCTACTCTGTGTTATGTGGGGAGGGCGGGTTTGGTGTTTTGAAAGAGGAAGCTGGAGGGAGTCGTGGGCATTGTTATGAGCTGATGGGAGAAGCTTCAATGTCTTGGGCATGCTGAGACTGCATTCTTGGCAGATGGGATTTTGCTTTATGCTTCTGGTGCTTTATTGTCGCTTGTCTGAGACAAATTGAAGTTAGCTAGGTAATTCTTAACAAAGCACGAGGCTGGGACTTGGCAATTGGGCGACGGCGATGATCCGATCCATGATGTTTAGCAGCCACGATGGAATCGAGCGAACTCACCTCGCATTAGCATCGTTCATACATGCACACTCAACAAGCGGACGAATCAAGTGTCCAATTCTCTTTGTTATATGCGTAAAAGCCGAGCAATCCTCCGTCTCGCCCTTTTCTCCGCACCGACGGCCGCTGCCACCCGCCTTTGTCTCGGCTCTTTTCCTTGATGCTACCTCTTGGCATCGAATGCCGACGGTTCAAGTCATACAAGTAAGTGTAAAGAGTAAACTCATCCAGTGTCTCGCTCGCTGAGTCTCCAGCAAGAACTTGGTAACGCATGTATTTGAGATTCTCGAATATCGAATGCCTTCAAAGTTCTTTGTCTCAATCTGTGAGACCTGCCTCGTCGCTGACACGTGTTGGATATTTATGAGATCAATGAACCTCTTTTGTCTCTAATGAATGATCCCTGCAACATTGATCACGATAAATTCCACGTTATGTAATCTCGGATCAACCCACACGTGGATAGCGCCGAAACAACACATGGCTCTACAGCTCCAACACCAGCGAAATCATCACCAGATATCGCACTCACACCAGCCAGCCAGTTCAAACAGCCTGGCTGCTGCATCGCCATGCCGTCGGCATCTCGTCAAAATGCCTCTCCCATTCCGCACATCCACGCCCTCTGCATGGAAGATGAATACAGCACCGCCCTCCAGGCCGCCGTCGAAGCTCACAGCCTCTCCTCCGTCTCAATCACCTACCACAACTGCGCCCTCTCCTTTGTAGAGGCCGAGTTCGATCTCATCGTGTCTCCCGCAAACTCATACGGCCGACTGGACGGAGGCTTCGACGATGCCATCTCGCGCTCATTCTCTCCTCGCGACGACTATCTCGCCCTCACAAGAGCTGCCCAGGCAAAGCTGTACGACGAATGGCGCGGCTTCGCTCCTCCGGGAACCTGCACGCTGCTTCGCATCCCCGACGACTTCCACGCCCGCTCACGGAACACCTGGAATACCAAATATCTGGCACTGTGCCCGACAATGCGAGTCCCGCAGAACGTCAACTGGGATCATGAGGTTATCTACGAGTGCACGTGGAGCTTGCTCTGTGCGATAGATAAGCACAACCGGGCAGTTCGTGAGGGCAGACTGAGTGGGAGACATGACGAGATCCGCAGCCTTCTCATGGTTCCTATGGCTACGGGCGTGGGAGCTGTGAGTCCCGAGAGATGGGCGAATCAGACAGTTCTTGCTTTCGAGCACTATGTTGATGCGATGGAAAACGAGTCCAAATGGAGCTCGCTGGAACCTGGCGATATTATCGAATATGCACATGAAGTTGAGCAGACGTGGGAGCTCTAGAGCGGCTGCTGCTGTCTATCATCCATTGGAAGACGTATATGCTTCGGTTCGTGTCGCGTCGTATCGTATATGGCCTGCGGTGACATGAGAAAAGAAGCCATGTACTGATTTGACCATGTCTATGACGGGTTCCATCGCTTGAATAGGCCTGCTGAGCAGCTCCCTAGCGGTTGAGCTCACCTAGGTCGGCATTGAGATTTGTGCAAACTTACCTCGTGCATCTCCCAAGAGCGAGGGCTGCCAGTACTGCTCCAACTGAGCATACCAGCAGCAGGCAGTTGTCTTTGAACGTGAACAGGTAAATACGTACTCATTCATAATATCTACAACGAAAATAGTAAAAGTCATCCCTCGAACCAAACCTTTGCAGACCAACTCCACCAAACAGGCACATCAACCGCGACAGCAAGCACCAAAACACATGTCCGGATCTAATCAAATATGTTAGAAAACACCTTGCGCTGCCTCATCGACATCCAACTTACTTCTCCTATGTGACGGTACGCTTGTCGACTCAGCCATCTCCTTTGCGATCCATTTCAAGCACTTGGACAATGTCCCAGATCTCCCCCTGGATGATAAAAAGGCACCATCCGCACTCAGATTCCCAACGTTTTCTCGGCTGTAGTATGGAGGAGGAAGCAATGCATTTCCGTCTTCGGCTCCGTAGCTCGGCGGCAGGATCTCGCTATGGTCCATAAAAGTGTTGCCCGACGTCGCATCGGAACGGGTCGGTTTGAAGGTATCCGTCATTGTATATAAGCCGTATATCGAGTTGCTTTCCGCAGATCGAGATTGTCTCTTCCGACAAAATATATTCTGATATCTGGGCATTTTCAACGGCCCTTTCTCGACTATTAGTCTTCTTCAATTACTCGTAAACTCAGCATCCGGAGAACTCTCGGTCTTTAAATCTGTCGCCGAGCTACTGGCAGTGACATGCCAAGCTTTCCAAGCTGTCACAGCACCCTCTTCAGCCGCCGGCTTACACTCAGTCAAAGAGATCCAGACCCTTGTCTTGGGTCAACTAAGCTTAAATAGTATGCATCACAAGGCCTGTGCCGCTTTGAATCAATCTGCACGGCCTGTCCTGCATGAGGGGCGAGCTGAATGAACTGCAGATGCCTAGCGGGAGGAATGCGTTTGATGGACAACAAACAGCATGTGGCGGCATCTTTTTTTTTCTCAGCTGAAGATATTGGGCAGCCATGGGGCTAGCACCAATAGATATAAAAATGTAACCGCTGAGGCTGGGCAGATGAGGCAATGAATGGCCCAAGAAATGAAAGGCTCAGGCTTGGCAAACTGCTACCCTCAAAGGTGAGATGCGGGGGAATCCAGATGACGGGTGATTTATATGGACAAGGGCACATCCGTAGATCTGATTAGCAGGGTTGGATCCCATACATGGCTCTCTCTGTCCAAATCGAAACCGCCATGGCCGTCTGTAGCTTCACGCAAGCTGCAGCCCGTATATGCGCGTATTCATAGCGCGTATCGAACATCGTTTTGTCGAATGGTATTGGCGGATAGAGCTGATCAAAGCATTGCGACAGCGGCTAAGAGCTCCAGCTCAGCTACCGCGAAGCGAACAAAGCGCAAAACACCATCATCAAGCGGAGTCGTTATTCGTTCGTGATTCATGGAGCCTGCGCAAAGATGCATATCAGCTCCATCTTGTTCCATCTACTTCCACTGCTGCCCTGCCGCATGGTATCAGCTTACTTCTGTCCAAGGTTCAAGACCCAGCAGCATTGATGGATTCTCAGCTGAAGACAGCCATGCTCACGATTTGATCATACATCCATGATCTTGGGCCCCATTCTATTCAACTCTTTGTATACTTTGCGATAATGGGGTGCCAAAATGGGAACTTCGGAGATGTGGCGGTGAGTATAATTAGAAAAGAACTCGAATATGGTAACTGATGAGGAAGCTCAGTATCGAGACCAGAGTCAACTGTACATGCACCCAACAGAGTTCTCAAAACAATATAAGTAGAACGACGAGGCATCAATGCTCAGTCTTGAAACATCCAGCGAGCACGTGTCACCTTTTACACCCCCATCTTAGTCACGATAATACTACTAGGTACCAACAACACCATCTTCGTCATGCCGAGAACCATGAACATTGGTCGCAAGATGGCGCATGCGATGTATCCGAGGAAATGCTTTTCTTCTCCACATTCTGGGGGAACGTTATCGGCGGTCTGGATTCATTGCAAAAGACAAGGGCATGTATAGTAGGGATTTCATACTCGTACTTTGCCCAATAGACTATAGCAAAGGCAAAGTTCCGCGGCGGACCATAAGATAATCTGGGTTATAAAATGCGACATGCTCCAAGATAGAAAGACCATGTTCTTTTGGTATCAGTGTCCGAAAAATGCCTTTGCACAGCTCAGACGTCAATGCAGAATGTCGATGCACGAGTAGATAATTCTATGACAGAGACAGATCTACCTGTAGATGCAGATAGATCTACTAGTTGGTAGATAGTAGATGGATCTAGTAGACATAAATACATCATTTACATCATCACGCTCGGAATTAAAATACAGATCGTCACCAGCTTCAACGCCGTTGTAGTGAACTTTGCGCTGCTGGCTAGACGATCTAACAAGGCGTGAGCGTCGGAATCCGCGGAGAGAATCATCCGTGTAGCAACCCCAGCACCACAGCTACTGCTACGTTGCAAGTGAGCGTTGTCTTATCGGGTACTCCGTACTTTTGCTGTGAGTCTGCCTACAAGTACCTACGAAAATGGGGACCGTAACAAGTGCACAACAATGCGGGAAGAAGCAGTACGAGTACTTTGTATGAGCACGACAGAAGGACGGGATGCAGCGTCTCTTCGACTAGACCAGGTCCATCCTAGCGGGCGTATCAGGGCGATAGGGATCATCAAGGAACCAAAATCTAATTGAGGAAGCCGAACCAAGCGGTAGATTGATTCTTGGCACCTTCTAGGGATGTAGATCGCGACGCCGGGGACAGGCATTGTTTTGATGGGCCGTGTTCATGGGCAAGCTTCAAGGTTCCCCTTTATGGACGGACGGCTGGAGATTGCAGATTGAATCTGCAGGCTCACACGCCGGCGGTTATAACATTCGAGGGTCCGATGAGAAAAATAAATAAATAGCAGTTACATTGATTAATGCGGGTTACTCCGAGGCTACTAAATGATTACCGTAGTGGTCACCACACCACATCTTTGCTGACACCAAATCTTTTCGCAGCGTCTCAGGGTCATTCAGTCACTTTACCTCAGCTGTAAACGCTCTCTCTCCCAGCCAATGGCTCGCAACAGATAAATAGCTTGCGCGGCTTGAATGATTGTCAACGCTGATCTTCAGCCATCCAAGGCAAATGCGCGACACCAATGACGTCTCAACCAAGGAAAAGTTTGATGCTGCGGTGGACCATGGCTGAAGGCGCGGCCCCACTGGACAGGGAGAGGCGAAAACTTGGCTTTTTTGTTCGTGCGCCCCGTTTCTGGTTCGGCAATGCTCCGCCTCGAGCGTTACAGGATGGCGGTGATCCGAAGGGGGGATGGCGAGATGGGCACACTGTATGGAGAACGGGGGGGTTGGAGGATGATGGTGAGGGAATGGTGGAATGGGCTCAGGGGGGGACTGGGAGAGAGGTTGCTGAGTTGTTCGAAGCGAGGTATGGAGTTGGGGATGTGGTAATCAGAAGATGATTGATATAGTACAATAATATGATATAATTAGAAGGTAGTTGAGGATGAGAATTGCGAATGGAATGAGCCTGGCAACAAAGTGGTGATGGTCGTCTAGGAGCAGTCTGGATGTGTATCCGTATATACACGCGCGATTTCTTCTTGACCAGTATGGATAATACAAAGCAATCTGGCAACGGGCCTGCGAGATGCATCACGCCAGCCAGCATGATGATAGGCAGGAGAAGAATATCGCCATCTGGCTTATCAGCCCCTGCATGGCATGGACTCTTGTATCTCTGTCCAGCGGTCAAGGAGCATCTGTCAGACGGCCCAGAGTTCAATGCATCCAGCTACTACAGTGCTGCTGCATCAATACTAATCTAGGTAGTGGTACATTCTGTACTGTACACTGAATGCTGCCTGTGCGTTGTACATACAGTATAAGGAGAGACGGGCGAAATGAGGCCCGCATTTGAACATCCCCCTCACGGCATAGATTTGCATGTGGAGAGCAGCGATCAACGGCGCCCCAGGGGCTGGTGCTGCGTGATTTTGGAAGCAAGATTGGCAACAGAGTCAGTCGATGCGAGTTTGATTGGGCCAAACAAAAGATGTGCAAAGATTTGTCTTTTCTCTTGCGCGCGCGTCTATGTACATACACAATTGATATAAGGGGGTCTCTGTCATTCAACTAAACTTGCACACGGGATGCCAGTCTCCCCTTGTATCCGTCATGCTACTTAATTTAAAGCCATGCGGAATCTAGACTTGGCTTTCGACCAGCGACAAGAGCCTTCAAGCGCAAAAAAGCAAAACCCGCTCACGCAAATCCAACGTTAGCCGCATCCATCGTGAGGCCTGAGCTGCCTCATTGGGCCCTGCCAGCCAACCAGAGCCAGGGCCAAGCTTTGGACTAGCGATTCCAGAAGACATGGATCGCAGCAGCGGGCTAGGGCGAAACAAGGCAAGCATCGTGGACGAAAAGCTTGTCTTGTCTTTGCTGCCGACGAGAGAGGAAGATGGAGCGATGCTTATGCGCATGTAGCTTACTGTCAAGTCTTAGTTAGTGCTGAATATATGCACCTGGACTATGCATCTCAGGGCCTCGACTTGTGGTGTTTACAAAACAGAACCAATTCATGAGAAATTCCCTCTGTACAGGTACCTTACCTGACCTCAGCAGCTCGCCCGCTGGGAACAGTGACATTGAAGCAGCCGCTCGCCTAAAGCGCCTGTAGACACTAGAAAATACAGTGCCTACCGGCATCTCCCTCACGGAGTACTTGCTATCTAGAAATCACAACGTACATCAACCTTTGCACATACCACCGCCATAACACTCCCCTCACCCAGTCTGCCGCCCAGTCTGTTAATCGCTACCACATGTCACAAGTTCTCGCTACCCGCCGCCTCTCATCAGCCGTGTACCCATCCTGCCGCCCTGGCGTGTCACCGCCCGCCCCATGTTCATGCTGGTCCATCCAAAACAACTCGCCCCCACCAAAATCTTCCATCCTTTCGCCATGCCAACAAAAAAAGCTCCTCCAAATGTTCACCTCAGCCAAATCCCTGCCACAGCCCGGCCCTCTGTGGACCCTCTTTTCATCATACCTGGAGTTCCTTTGACTCGACTCGGTTCATGGTTTGGCCTTGTTGTTCTGAGTTGCTCCGAGCAGTAGTTTGTGTGCCCTTCCTGTTCGTTCCTATTCCTATTCCTGTTCCTAGTCCTCTTTTCCTTCTATCTCTTTCTTTCTTTGCCTCCTCCATCTCTCGACTCGACTCGACTCGACTCGACTCGACTCGACTCGACTCGAATTCTTTTCTCCTTTTCTTCTTCCTCAAAATCACACACACTCTCTCTTTCTATCTGTCAACCTCGTCCTCTCTTTGACGCATATCTCCTCGCCAGTTCCTTCACTTTGGCGAATCACCCGCGGTCGATACATGTAGGACTCGACTTCACACAGAGCTGTTTGCATGTTTGCTTGCTTTTCCTCGTGTTTCTCAACTTTCCAATCAAGCTTCCTCCGATAAGCTTGATTGTGTCACCATTTCCGCATTCTCTTTTCCCGGCAATAGAGATTCGTTTGTACTATTGACTTGTCACCCACTATCCGCCACCTAACCCGCACACTCGCTTCCACCCATCATCTTGCGCTGGCAGATTTTAAGTTTTGATACTTCAAACTCCTCAACGAAGAGTGGCCCCTATAGGTGTTCTTTATCAAGAGCACATCCTCGTTGGCAGCACATGCTTCAGAACCCGCACGCAGGAGACGACACATGCAGGCAAACCTCGACTACCAGAGCTTCTCTAGAATGGGCGTCAAGCTGTTGCCAGGCCCCCATCGAGTCATCAGCATGAAGAGCCCAATTGTGCGGTCCATATTGGGCGCCCTGTGCGTCTTCATCATCATCATGGCTACCATGCACAATGACAGCCTTCACGTTCGCTCCAAGCTGTTCGAGCAAGCCGGCGTCAGGACTGGATCCGCACACGCCTCCCAGCAGCATCTCGATAGCAAACCTGCGGCACCCAAGGTCAAAATGGATTGCAACGCCGACCTGGCCCACCTGACTCAGATCAAAGAACGCTATAATCTCGAGGACAGGTTTCAATACATGAAGCGCTACGTCCGATTTACTCGCAAAGACGGCCTCGAACGCAAGCGAATGACCAAGCTCTCCCAGAAACTGCTCCCTGATAGCTTCAGAACGGTTGAGCTGAGCAAAGGCTTTGGTGGAGGTGACGTGTGTGCTGCTCCCCTCGAGGTTGACGTGCCCGCGTCCGACTACCCTCGCACCGTCAACGCGTCCGACTACATCTTTGGAGTCTCGACCACGTACAAACGCTTCATGGATGCAAGCACGACGCCCATCAACGAGTGGATCTTCTGGCTCACCGACAGCCACGGCAATTCAAACGGCGGCAAGCTGCTGCTCATGCTCCTCGATGCCACCGACGATCAGCTTCAAGAGGTGGCCAACATGCTGGGCGACGTGGGCATCGATGTCGACGTCTACCACTCCGACTCGTCTGTTGAGATGGCCGTCCGATACCTGACTCTGGTGCCAACTCTCTTCACCCACCCCGAAGCAAAAAGCAGAAAGTGGCTGGTAACTTGTGACGACGACACCTTTTTCCCCAACATGCATGGCCTCATTGAGAAAATGGCAACCTTTGACCACACGAGGGACATGTACATTGGCACTTTGTCCGAAGACGTCGGTGCCATTGAGCGTCACGGCTCTCAGGCCTTTGGAGGAGCAGGCGTTTTCTTGTCGCGGTCCATGGCAGAGAAAATCACTGGCCACTTTGGCGGCTGTACAACGCAGGCCAAGATTCTCGAGTCCAACTCTGGCTGGGGCCCTCAGGGCGACATCATCCTGCGCAAGTGCATCTACGAAAACACAGAGGTGCGATTGACCACTCTCTGGGACCTCTGGCAGCTCGACTTTTTCGGCCACCCCAGCGGCTTCTACGAATGGGGCATCAAGCCGCTCTCGCTGCATCACTACCGTGGCGGCGGCTGGCACAGCGCCAAGCCTGGACAGTACACCAAGATTGCCCACGCGTGTGGCGAGGATTGCACTCTGATGCGTTTCCAAACCACGGACGACTTCATCATCTCGGGCTACTCCATTGCCCACTACCCCCAGGGCATCACTTTCGATACCAACCAGCTGGAAGCTACTTTGTACGCCGCGCCTGAGAACAAGGGCTGGAACCTTGACTTTATGTTTGGCCCGCGGCGACAGTCGCTCCTCAAGACGGGGCGCAAGATTTCCTGGGAGCTTCAGGAGTCCGAACTCCAATCGGATGGATCCGTTCTGCAAACATATACGCGAAGCAGAAATGACGAGAGATGGGTCCACGCCGACAAGCAGCCAATGAGCAACATTGACGGTGTCATTGAGCTTGTTTGGATCCCCTCATAAAGCCGGAAAACTCGACGCGGTGCAACCTTTTCCGCTCTTTTAATCTCTGCTCGAGTCTGAGGGAGAGGCAGGTAACGTTAGACAGCTTGAGACACCGTTTTCTCCCCCCGGGTGTCACCAGGACAGGACGGATATGTCCCATCTGGGTAGTCGGGCTGTGCGACGTACCTTGTGTCTAGGACGCGAATCGTTCTCTTCCCACACAAAGGCCCAAGACACAACACATGATACCACCAAAGGCTATTCCAATGCCAAAAGTCAGCAAACCATAGATTTTCTTTTTTTATTCCATCTTTTTTTTTCTTTCTCAACGGCTGGCGTTTTGGAGCTTGGTGGGCTGGATATCTATATCGACGTGCATCCCGTACAATAGAGTCGGAAACGGGAAATGGACAGCTCGAAGGGTGCTTTGTCCTTGAAATCGAATGTGAGGGAGTTGATCATTTCTTTTCTTCAATGATTGTTTTCTTCCTCACCATTTTGCTATTTTTTTTTCTTCTTCCATCCTGACGCATTGGGCTCATGGTGTATCATGTCATGTAGACTTTGTTTTTTCGCGATGATGGCCTAGTGCAGCGCCACATTGCTTTGAATTATACGATGCAAGACAATTTGTAGGAACTGCAAGTTACATGGGCTGAGACGAGGCCGAGAGGATGCAGTGCTGGGCTGAGTCGATGACCTTTTTGATAAAAGGGAGCTATAGACGATATGAATAAAATATTAGACCTCTTTACCACGATATAGTGTTTCTGGTGCTTGAATATTTCCACATAAAAAGTAGATATGACCAGGAGGTTGGTTTTCACTTGGTTCAGCTGGACAGGAACATCAACTCGACTCCTGGAACCTGGTCCCTCAGACTCCCTCTCATGAAGCAGTCGATAATCTCAGCTGCAGAAGGCTTCTCTCTGAGGACCAGCACCCTGATTAATGACCAAATAACAAGAGGGACTTTGGTAGAGAGATCTGGCCTTGGGAGTTGCCATGGATAGTATCCTGCAGATTTCACAGCTGTCGAGGATTGTCAGAACTTGAGAGGAGTGGCAGTCCTCGACCAACCCCAACTCTCCGATAAATGTAATGGATAGGGCGAAACTTTGGATGGGTTTTGAGTGTTGTGACAATACTAAAGCTTATAGATCCCAAAGTAGGGCTACTAATTGACTGATAACTTGTTGATCCTTTGCATTTCGTTTGACCTTGATCTGATACAATGTTTGTGTGATATATTCTTAGTAGCCGCTGCTAGAAGCACCACTTCTCCATGAGGGCAAATAAGGACTTGTCTCGCTAGACACTTGAGCTTTAGCTACTGGATAGTCTGATTATACGTGAGATGTATATTCTGGCATTTCAAGTGTCCAACTACGACATCTCTACCTTGATACATCAATCACTTTGCTTAATATCACAATTCCAGGGTATGTATGAAGCGCAACCGAAATGATGAAAGGCTGCTGAGTCATCGATGACGCCCCTCCATGGATAACCCGGCAATGCCCCGCCAACCACCGACCAGCAACACAGATGCAAATAATACCCGGAGCTGGTCATGTCATGATAGCTTCTTCCTCTCCTACAAACTCCTCTGTAGCTTTTCTGCATTCCCCCAAGGCCCGACAGCGGCCCGGCGCCCAAAATGTCCACGTATGGAATCCCTCCCTCCCGATCCTCTGCCGTGTTTTGCGCTTTCTGGCCGCTTGTTGCTGCTTTCTAACCGCTTGTTATTTGCTGCAGGCCGTCCACCAACATTCTTTGCATCCCGTTCCGCCGGTCGCTTCACATTTCGCTGTCGACGACGATCCGGCAGTACATCAACACCAAGTATGACCAGCACCCGGACATGTTCCAGTTTGATCTCGAGGCGGTGGATGCGCTGCGCCGAGACGCGGTCAATGTGCGGGAGCCGCATCTGAGCGGCATCCGGAAGCTGCAGGTGTACGCGGGCCAGCTCGTGTGGATTGGCGGCAAGTTTCCAATCGATGTGCGTAATTACTCTGGGGTTTTTGTTGTTTTGGAAGGATAGGGTGGAATCCGAACAGGAAATCGAGGAAGAAGAGTCATAAGATATGACTGTAAAGAGACCGGATGCTGATGATGACTTGGATCGACTCTAGATTGGCGCCGAATTCACCTGGTATCCCGCGCTGGGCTACCACACCGAGCGGCCGATGGCGCGCAACAACCTCAAGTACGAGCTCATGAACGTCCTCTACAATCTCGCCGCCCTGTATTCCCAGCTGGCCCTCAACACTCCCCGAGGAGACACCGAAGGTCTGAAATCGGCAGCCAATTACTTCTCCCTCGCCGCCGGCGTCCTCTCCCACGTTCAGAAATCGGTGCTTCCCGAGCTGCGCATGTCCGACCCGCCCGACGACATGGACAACAATACCCTCGAATCCCTAGTGCAGCTCTTTTTGGCGCAGAGCCAGGAGTGTTTCTGGCAGAAGGCGGTCATGGACGGCTACAAGGACGCTTCAATCGCAAAGCTGGCTGCGAGGGTCTCTGACTTGTACAATCTGGCAGCCGAGGCCGCGGTTCACAGTGAAGCCATCAGCAGCGAGTGGATCCATCACATGAACGCAAAGCATCACCACTTTGCGGCAGCCGCCCAGTACCGCGCCGCGTGCGATTGCCTAGAAAAGAGAAAGTACGGTGAGGAGATTGCGCGTCTAAAGGACGCCGTCCTCTGCGCAAATGATGGGATCAAAGAGGGCCGGGTGTCCTCATTAAACAAGACTGTCATGGAGGATTTGCAGGCATTGAAGCGAAAGCTGGAGGAGGATTTGAAGAGGGCCGAAAAGGACAACGACTTAATCTTCCTTAGTATGTCTTGGCTGGTACTCCCCTTGGAGCTCGTTGTGCGCTAACGATCACGTAAAGATCCTGTCCCTCCGAAAGCTGAATTGAAAATCCTCGAGAGAGCCAACATGGCCACTGCCAGAACGCCTCCTCAGGTGGCCAACCCCCTCGACTACCTCGGGGATCACGCAGAGCTTGGGCCGGCGCTCTTTTCAAAACTGGTTCCGTTCTCGGTTCATGTGGCTATATCCATCTACGAGGAGCGCAGGGATCGGACGGTGAACCAAAACATCATCCAGGAACTGGAGAATTTGACTGAAAAGATCCACACGCTTCTCAGCTCCATTGGCTTACCCGGATCTCTGCAAGCGTTGGAAAAGCCGCTTGGTCTACCGCCGAGCTTGATTCAGCACGCAGAGGAAATTCGACAATCCGACGCCATCAACAAGATTCAAAGGAGTTTTGCCGACATTGACAAGCTGCGGTCCAACGACTGGGCGATTTTTGAAGAAGGTAAAGCAGCGCTAGCCGCTGAAAAGGACGAGGACGAACAGCTGCGGAGGAAATACGGCACCAGCAGATGGCGACGACCAGAAAGCCAGGCTGACCCCAACGGTTCCAAGTTCTGGGCGGCAATCGGCGAGATCGAAGGCTATTTCCAGAATAGCTCAATTAGCGATGATGCCGTTCGGGAAAAGTTCATGACGAACAAGGACTTGTTGGAAGTTCTGTCGGGGTCGAACCAGTCTCTAATGAACTACGTGCCTGCGAGTGCCCCCGTCGAAACGTCGGGTGATTTGAAAGCTTCCGTTGGGCGATTGCGAAGTGTGTACAATGATATCCTGCGGCTGGAGAGTAGGAGGAGGAAAAAGGTCGAAAGCTTGAGGGAGGCGGCACGGCGTGACGACATTAAACCTGATATTCTCAAGGAAGCGGCTCGCCTAGAACGGACGTATACTACGACGCCCTTGCAGACGGTTCATTTTGAAGAGTTTTTCGAAAAGCGATTGGATAAGCTGTACGAGCCCGAACTTGAAGCCATTGAAAAAGAAGCCCAAGAGCAAGAAAATCTCTTGACGCTTCTTCAGCGCGCAAACAGGGAGTTTGAGTCTCAGAAACGCCTCATTGATGGCAAGGGTCATCGAGATCGCGAACAGGTGCTGCAGAAGCTCAACGGCGCGTATTTCAAGTACAAGGAGATTGGGACCAACTTGGAGGTGGGAAGGAAATTCTACAATGACCTCAACAAGATAGTTGCAAATGGCTTCCGAGATGCTGTCAAAGCCTGGGCGGCGGAGCGACGGATTGAGGCGAGGCGTCTGGAAGAGTAAGTTTGTCGTAAAGAATGTGGTATGCGGTTGTTTGCGGGCTAACATTGTTCGATTAGGGAACTCAATATGCCTCCCCTTTCGAATCTCAACATCACCCACCAGCAGGCAGCTCAGGCTCCATCCGGATTCGTAGCCCATCCCGTTGCCCACCAACTAGCCGAACACGACCAATACCAGCCATCATACCAGCAGTCATATCAACCATCGTACCAGCAGCCACCACCACAGCCGCAGCATTATCAACAGCCACAGCAACAGCCCTTATTTTCAAGGCCCGCCGTTCAGAGTCCCGCAGAGGCTTCGATACAATCTTGGGCTGGCCAAACACAGCAGCAGCCAGTGCAGCCACAGGTGCAGCCACAGCCTGGGCAGACACCAAGCCCGATGCCTGGAACGTGGAACCCCTCAATGGGCATCAAATTTGGAGGGCCACCAGCGGGAGGGTCACAGGGTAGCGGAGGGACATGGAGCGCCAATTCAGGCATTAGATTTGGTTGATTGGCGTATGATGGAATGCCGCAATGCCTGACATAATGGAGTCTACTATATACCTACAATCTATACACGTGTACATATATAATGTGGACATATTTTACGACGTTGGCATATTCAAGTTCCTGGGATATATTAGATGCATATGCACACTTGTTGGAATGAATACGTGAGTGAGCGATATGAATTATCACTCTAGGGAGTACTATACACCAACCGCTTGTCCCTGCTGGTTGCATAAACCGAAGCTTACTTGTAGCATGAAACAGTATCTTTAAGATCTATTGGCCTCATGCTCCTTCTCGGCCGACGATTGTAAGACTTCCGGGGAAAGTTGTGGCGCCATAAGTTAGAAAACATATGAGACAGTTACGGGTTCGTGCCAGTTCATTTGCCAAAACAGAATGGTGATGTAGTCTATTCTACGTTTGACTTGTTAACCAAGGTTTACTAAAGGCAGTAATGTGTTGAAAGTTGCCAACTTACTTTCCTTTACAATGAAAGGACTGCATAGGATACAGCCTCACCGGCAACTTGGTTCATTGATGGTACGTGAATAGGCAAATGAATGGGGAACGAAACCAGAGATCAACACGATCCGCATGCTATTTTCCCAAACCGGCTTTTTGTGCCATCTCGCATGTTGAAAAGATTACAATCCTCTAGCAGCATCATGCACGCTGCTTTATTTTGCATGTTCTGGCCAACGTTGGACGGGGAAATGAATCGGAGTGCCATGCTGCCCCTGTCAAGGGAGGTTGTTGACTCTTGCCCAGGGCTGATCCCTTGATGGGATGGTATGGAGTCTTAGAGAGCTGGCATTGTCCTGCACCTTCACTGGCGATCCCTCTGCCTTCATTTTGGCTATATTGCCTGTGCCTGAAGATATTGAGACGTACATCTGGGATATGGACTGCTGTCGATGAATACCAACTACCAACATGTGTTTTACTGCATGTCTTTACGAGACGTGGTGCAAAAGCGGTTGTGAGTGTATACCTATATAGCATCATTGCATTCCTAAAGGTTTCCCCAGACACTCCGTGTTTGTGATTGCCTGGGCAACATTCTGAAACGAATAAAAATGCCATCAACATGGAAATTCCTTGAATAACGTCATGAAGCGTTTCAGAAGAAATCCGTGTTAGTTACCGTCGAATATAAAGACGAGAGTATTCCAGCAGCAGGGAGCTCACAAACAGACTCTCATACATACATACTCTCCAACGACACATCCAAAAAAGAATTTCTCAACTTATCATAGAAGGAAAAAAAAGGCCAACGTCTCCAAAATGAGGTTCACCACTGCCGTCGTCTCCATCCTCGTGGGCAGCGCATTCGCCGCCCCCACAGAAATGTCCGCCGAGATGAAGGCCGACACGGCTTCCGACATGTCCGCAGATGCTATTGCCGCCCTTTCACACATGCGCCTATCCGACATATTCAGCGAGCGCCAGCTGGCCGTGCTCAAGGTCCTCTCCGAGCACAAGCATGAGCTTGGCCTGGACGACAAGGAGGCCGAGATGATGGATACCTTTATGGGCGCACTGCACGAGACGTTCCACCTCAACGACAAGAGACAGATTGCCATTCCTCCAAGCATCATCACCAATGCCACTGATGCTGTCGGCAATGCTACCAACACGGTGACAGGCGCGCTGGGGAACCCTGGGAGTGTGATTGACCCGCTCAACGTCACTGATACTAATGCTACTACCGGTGCGGTCGGCACAACCGCTGGAACTATAACTAATGCTACTACGGGGGCTCTTACGGGCTCGACTGCACTTTTGGATATTCTCAAGAGCATTCCGGCGTTGGGAAATCTGTTGGCCGGGACTACGGGCGGCCTTGGAGGGACTACGAGCGGACTGACGGGGGCTACAAGCGGGTTGGGAGGACTTACTGGCGGTCTTGGTGGGTTGACGGGCGGCCTGGGAGGATTAACTGGTGGTCTTGGAGGATTGACTGGGGGTCTTGGAGGACTGACGGGAGGTTTGGGTGGCCTTGGTGGCCTGCTTTCGTGTCCTCGTTCTGGTGGGCTTCTCGGCGGTATTCTCATTCCTGGGATCTTGTAAATGTGGTTGTTTGCTGTGGGACATGGCTTTGTAAGGATTGATAAAAGGGAGCGTGTAAAGGAAAAGATGGGAGGGAGGGCTTAAGATGAAAACAGCAATGATTTGATGAATGTAGCATCAACCTAGGTATACACACCAATTTCCATTTCTCAAGAGAGCTTTTGCTGTGAGAGCTTGGCGTTATGCTATGTTATGGATGGTCGTAGTCTGTAAACAGGTAGGATACAGACAGATGTGCTTCTATTGTATTGGCAGAATGGTATATCGCTTAGAGCCACGATTGACGTCGTATAGAGGTATATTGATTGTCGATTACTCATACAACGGGCATAGACTTTGCTGATAGAGCTACAGGATATATCTATACCTTACCATAGAACTTCCATATGTACATGCAGTTACTAGTAATCAATGGACATTGATTTGCTGCATCGGGCTCGTCTCGTTCGATCAAAGCCACTTGCTAACCTTGGACACAGCTGGAGAGGACCGTCAGAGTTGATCAAGTGTCAGGTACCTACAAACATGTGTACAGCTCCAGCAAATGGTAGGTACCTCTCTGCTGGCAGCCACCTGGCACCCTCACATCGCCATCATCACCATGCATCGAGGGCTGTGCACGGATCATGAAGCTTCTCTCTTCTCTGCTTCTCTCACTTTTGCCTCTTTACTTCTTCTTCTTTCATGCCTCATTCACCAAGTTGCCACTCTGAATCCATATCATCCGCCCCCTCGCATCTCACGTCTCCCGGAGGATATTAACACTATTCAACATTGGTTCCCTATATCATTGTTTACCTTTTGTGCGGGCAGTATAGTCTAGAACTGTTCTAGACAATGTCTGATCAGACCAACCTCTGGCTGTATCGGGAGCCCAATCCCGCCCATATGCATCTGTCTGCATCTCATTCAGGTTCAGATGAGAAGCAGCTACCGCAGGAGCCGGATTATGACAAGTACGCCGCAGTGATGGAGCTGTGGTCCAAGATCCATCCAAAGGCTCACCTGTCCTGGAGAGAAGGCCTGGAGACGGCTCGGCAACTGCAGGCGGGAGAGCGCTCTGTTTCGGCGTTGCGCAGACTTGTGATCAAGGCCATGAGAGAAGAGGTCACAGACGTGGAATTCGTGCGCTACAAGTTTCGGACCGCTTCCGACCGAAATCCCATCATGCAAGACGACGTGTCAAGGCTCATCCCTTTGGCTCTGGGCTGCCTGATGGGCATGGGGTCTCCAGACGACGCAGATGAACAGGCCCTCAGATGCCCTGGCCTATGGGATGGACATTTTGTTCCCGGAACTGTCTTCAGGCCGGATCTTAGGTTGGCCGTGGAGTACGCAGAGAAATCATGCAACTATTGAAGACTGCGCGAATGAGGGATCCTTTGGAGCTCGCAACAATGGAGCAGAAGGCGACGAAATGGCTCACGAAGCTTGCGGACTGCTTACGGGACGCGACTCATGTTGAGTGGTTGAGAAACTGGACAAGACGTTTTCCAGAGGTATCGGGCCATGGTGACGGCCCAGATGGACAACAATCCCTTCAATTCACCCCAGGCGCAGAACCTTTTATTACGCACATCACACACCAACAGTCGCTGTCCACGGGCGAAGAGATGCCAGCCTTGGATCATGTGGCCCAGGCTGTTACTGGGCAGTCAACGGTTCCCCATTCAGAGACGGCGGTTACTACTTGTAGTGTTGAGGCTATGCTTGAGAGTGTCCCTCCAGCCGCTCAACACGATGACTCTGAGCCGTTTCCACATACTGAAGGACAATTGAATGAAGAGGCGCCAGCTTCAAACGACCAAATGCCGGCTGCTGAGGGGCAGACACTAAAGTCAATTGAACAGCCGTCCAACCTAAGCTCATTAATGGATGCTGCTGCTGCAGCTGCTATAGCAAACGGTCCACTGCTGGATCATCCGCTACGAATTTATGATTGGCGTACGCCGGCCAAGTCCACGCCTCCGGTTCGTGGAAATGATGATGCTCCAGGGTCTAACGATGAAACGCCATCTTCTGAGGATGTCGGCGGTGAGGTACGTTGCTCAATCACGAAGATCCAACTCTTAGAAAAGCAAATTCTAACCCCAGATAAGCAGGCTACGGGAAATGCTTGGCCCCCAGAGCGAATAATAGCCTTTATCAATGACCTGTCAGAGGATGCGAGAATATCCGACTGGACGATTGTTCGCACTGTTGAGCTGGAGGATGGGTGGTACATACACGGATACTGGCCATCCGCACAGGAGGTGGCCAGTTGGTAAGAGAAATAGCAGACAAGCATCCCCGACCTATGCCAACTGACTTGGCGAATGGTCTGGCTGATTGGGAGGAGCATGGGATGAATGTGTGAGGAGTTCAAGCGTGTTATGGGTTTTTGGGAAGAGAGAACTTAAGGGGACAGGCACTACAAAAGGCAAGCAATGGGTTTTCCTTGGGTCATTGGAAGGGATCGGGAGAGATTGGGCAACGGTTTCATCTTCATCACGAAAAGTTTATTCTGCTGGGAGGCTGAGGAGGACGATGGTTGCGTCTTCGATATGGGGTGCTAGGCGAGCTTCTTAAGCAGGGGGTTTCTGTCGTATAACATCTTTGCCGGGGAATCAAAACACCAAGGACAATGTAGTCGCGATGGCTATACGTGGCAGTGAGATTCCTCTTATTTATTATACCAAATATAGTAATGATTAGAGGTGTCCTGTGCTCGCTTTTTCTCCTCTTTGTCATTGACTGTATTCCTTGGCCCGTGACTCCCAGTAGTCCTTGTCAATGTTGATGCAATCTCTTGATGCGCTCTCTAGTTATAATGTAATGTCTACTGTTGAGCAGGTACTGCAAAGGCGCATTTGGCCAGCGACGGCGGGCCGCGTAAGGGGTGAGGCATCCAGTCGTAAATGGGCTTGTGATGTAAGCACAAGACACGATATAGAACTCCTGACTTTACTATACCCAGGTTGGGGCTTAAAGCTATCCAAAGAGGTATATGTAATGCTGCATTCACATATAATGTGAAACAGTTGATCTTAAGACGGAGGGCTTTAAGCGGTGCTGGCGTCGTTGTCTATCTATCTAGGTTATGACCTGTCAGTATAAGGATAGATAGGCAGTGAAAGGGGAGTGACAAACTTTGATGATATCTGAATATGGCTGTTATGAAGCTGTAACGCACCATTTAGCTAGCGAGAAGAATGATGGCCAGCAATGACAGAAGGAATCTTGAAGCAGACTGGAGAGAGAAGGCTGCTAGGATGATCCAAAGGAACTACGATAAAGAGAAGAAGGGAGAGAAAGAGGAGAGAATAGTGGGAATGCAACACGAATAGATAAATACAAATGGAGAAAACCCATGACGAGGGTTGGCGGTGACTCGGAGATGCCCGAGATGTTGCGTGGGTGCTCGGTGTTGGTGATTGATGGAAGAAGTGAGAGGTACTTTTGCTTAGCTGTAGATAACCTTACAAGGTTAAAAACCCAAATTCCGAAGATAGGATGCACGTATCCTATGCATGCGCGCACAGATATTGGAGTTGACGATTGCTTTCTTATATAAAGGGCGTTTTGCTTTAGCTGCACTCTGTCATTAGATGCTAACCACTTTGCATTTGCTAGTTAATACCTTACTCTTGATGCCTTGATACCTTGTCGTTTGTGTGCAAGCCTCGATTCAACTATAATTTTATTGCTCTCTTTTCTTCCTCCTACGTTTATCCTTCTCTCATCACCATTGGTAAAGCATCACCGGCTTGCACGTTTCCTCTTCTTGTCAGGTTTGCTCCTTTTATATTCACCCGCTCTTCTCTTGAAACTGTTTTCTCCATTATCTCATGCGGTACGTGTTTCAATACAAATTTGCCATGGCTATCAATTAACCAAGGATCAGGAATTGCTTCTTCTACCCTATTTCTACTTTCCGATTTCGACATCATCACCATCCGGTGAGACAACATCCAGCCTTTCGATGGGAGTCACAGCCGCACATTCTTTCTTTCGAGTCAAGTGTCGGCACCGAAGTCACTGTCTATACTCTTCTTATACGCCGTGTATGCGCACGAGCGTCTAAACTAGGCTTTGGCCAACCAGAAATCAGAAGATTGGCGCCATAGTATCGTTCAGTCAATGTCGGTCAACGATTATGCCGTTGCTTCGGATTGGTATCTTGGAGAGATTGTACTCCCACAAGAGCCAGGAACTGAGCTCATTCCAGGTTACCCCGAGTACGAAGATCTGGAGAAGAAGTGGTCTGCAGTTCCTGATGGCGCACACTGGGCCTGGGAGGCAGGATGTGAGGAGATCAAGGCCCCTGAAGAAGGAGGCCTCAAGAGCGCCGTGGAGGTACGCTATGCTTTTACACTCATCTCCTCAATCTCCAAGCAGGAATGCACCAATATATTCCTTGGAAAAACGCCGGGCGATGATTTTATTGTGTCACCAAGTATGCAACGTCAGCGGAACGGCCCTGTTTCTGCAGCTGATTCCGACGAGGAGTAAGCGAGAGACAGAAGACTTCCGAAAAAGATGCTGAAGATGCTAGGACTTACAGATCCTGGTGAGGCCAGGGGCCTTGGCCAGGCGGAAATGGTGTACACGGCATGCAACAATACGTCGAATACGGCGGAAGACGTCAGGAGACGGAATGTTCGATTTGTCTTCATGTCTCACGTAGGACCAACCCTTGGGAACAGTGTCTAAGAAGTCCCATGCCCATAGTCTGTAACCTCACCAAACGGCCTCTTTTGAGGACATCGACGGGCCCAGCTGAGTCACACACTGTAATTCAAGGGACGCTCTGTGGGACAAGTGCGAGACGATATGGGGCCCATTGTAGGGGACTTGCGTGACACTACAATTCTTAAACCCATATGGCCCGTATCTACATATAGTAGATTACCTACTAGTATGTATTGTTAGTCAAGCAGCGCGGGACTTCGCTGAAGCGTCATACTGCGAATATCAAATTCCCTTTACTCTTTATGTTGCGCTTTTAAGCTTACGCTAGGTGCAGTTTGTCCTGGCTAACATGTCTTTGGCCACAATTTATTGGACATTTTTTTTTCATCCACCAACATCATCAGCTTAAGCATGAGGAATGATGATAAAAAGCAGCCGGTGGTATGGAGAGGATTCCCAAAGGACAGATACAAGCCTCGGTTTAACTTGGCTATGCATCCTAGTCAAGGAGTGCATACCATAGCCTCCTGCTGCTTTTGAGGACATAACAGGCATCAAAGATGAAACGAAGCATCTCTACGAGCTCATCATCGTAGGTATGGGATATATCAATCGAGTTCTAACCAGTTGCAAGCCATGGGAAATATATATTCATGGAGCAAGCATTTATAATATGACGTTGCTACTTGCTTGCCCTAGCCTTGGATTTACCTACCGAGCTGGAGTGACACCGTCTCGGACAAAGGACAGAGCACATATGTGAGTGGCTGCTCCATATTGCATCCCTTGCCTTGGCACCAAATTATCGGGACCAAAGGCGGAATGTGATTGCCTAGTTTGGCCAAGGGAGGAGTGGAGGCTATTAGGATCATCTTCAGTACCTGCAAAACAAGATATTTTAGACCATGATCCATAAGCACGGATTCCGCTGGTGGACTCTATGCAGAGCAATTTGGCAGTGATGAGTCACACTACAATGATTAACCACCCACACGCCTGACTTGGATGTCTAAGATGTATTTAACACGCCCCATATCCAAGACAAAAATGATATACCTTGGATGAAATCAGGGGCCTATACATCCCTTAGCATGTTAAATCACAACCCACCCAGAGAGAATACAGGTGGCTACGCATTGATAGGTGCAAAAAGTATAAAAGCCATCAATTTCACCTAGCTTCTCTCAAACTCATACAGACGCCAATCATCACTCCTACTTCAGAGCCTACAAAGCCACCTACCTTGCTATCAACTTTCTTATTTCCGAGATACTACCTTGTCCAAAATGAAGACTGCTGGCGCCACCATCCTTTCTCTCCTTGCCGCTACCGGCTTTGCTGTCCCAATGGTAGGTTGTTCGGTGGGGACTAGACGTCCATGGCCCAATATGCAATCTGTTGAAGTATTATTCAACCGTGCTGACATTTATCAAGGAACAAGCTGAGCAAGCCGGCCAGGCTCAGATCATGGAGCAAGCCCAGATCATGGAGCAGGCCCAAATGGCAGTCAACGGCCTCTTTGACCCTCCTCGCAACGGCAATGGCAACATCATTGGTGACATTTTTGACACTGCCGCCTGTATCCTTGGCAGCTTTATTGGCAGCCGCTCCTGTGACAGGCGTGATCCCCAGGTCATTAACATCACTAGCGATAATCACCATAACGACAACAATAACAGCAGCAGCAGCAGCAGCAGTACTAGCACTTCCTACCAGTACAGCTATACTACCGACTCGGACGGAGACTACCACATTGAGATTATTCCTGGTGGTAACAAGTCGAACTGCACCTATACCGTTGCCAAGGAGGATGCGGCGGTCTTGGCCACCACCATCAACGCGCTTGCCACCAAGTGCCTCAATAAATAGGCGATTGCCCTCCATTAGAAAGTCCCTCTCTACACGCCAACCACGGGCATAGGAATGATGGATGACGGAACGGTGGAAAGGGGGTTCAAGAGAACTAGGCAGCCAATACAATAGGGCGTATTTGCATTCAATTATACTACAAGTTTTAGTCTGCGACTTTTTCTTTCCTGTTACTAGATTCACCCGTTCCATCACGCCACCGTGAATTATGCAAGACCTGAAGCATATCTTCATATCCACCCTGTCCATCTTTTCCAACCACGGAACGCCATTCTATGTAGACTCTAGTTTATGTCAAAAAAGGAGAAACCACGAGACAATCTTTCCATTTCTCAATTCGTTCTTTCATTCTTCGCCTTTGCAATCTCCTGTTTCTTCTCTTCCTTCTGCTTCTTCTGGTCTTCGTAACCGTCGTCCCACGCACCCTTCAGTTCGTGAATAAGCCATTCGCTTGTGTCATCTACTTGAATCAGGTGCTGATCGGTGAAGAATTCGGGTAGAATGTTCTCGATATGAAGATCAATCCAGCCTGGTAGCGGATCCTGAGGCTGGAAAAACACTTGATTGGCGATGGGGAGATTATGCGAGTCTTCCAGACTAAAGTGACGATATTTCCCGAATTCAACTTCAGCGTTCCAAACCGCTGGTCCCGTGTCAAATGTACATTGAATAAAGCCTGATGGGCTATTCACCATCTCGTTAACTGCATCGGGAAATCCCTCGAATCTGTCTGTTTTGAATTTGTTAGCCAAGAACGAAAATACTTCATGTGAGAAACTTGAGTCCTTACAGCAATGGTGGGCCCTCTTGGTGAAGAAGGATTCTTCCGAGAAGGTGTCGGACGTGATCATTTCCCAGGCGGTTTGCCAGGCCGCATCTCGTTGGACTATTGTTTGGAAGATATCTGAGCACTGCTGTGGCACATCTCCTCCATCTAGAACTAATGTGTAAGATTTTTCAGGCATGCCCAGCGGAATAAGAGCCAACGCCTCTGTCACCCAAAGAGCAATACTGTCTGTGAGTACCAAAGACCACAGTCCCTGTCCTCTGCCATCGTAACCGCTAGTGCTCCATGCCAACCGACCTTCGAACGTGAACGTGAGATTTGCCATTTCACTAGATGGCGATTGGAAAACATTTCTCCACAAGTCGAGCCGTCTTTCGACATGTAGCATCGGATTCTCGATACAAACTCAATAAGGCCTTGAGCATGGCATTCCGGATAAGCCACACTCACTGCATTCTCATTCAGACGTATATTTCGCAAACACATTCGTAATGGAGGTGGTAGCCTGGAGAGAAACCTTATGGCGAGGGCTGCTGCCGAGTAGCGGTATTTTCCTTGAGTGTATTGCTGCTCTCCATCTTTTGTCGTATGAGGGAACTTCCAGTATGAGGCGGACTACCTACTAGAAATAGCCCCAACATTGAGCTCTCGAATCTCATCCCCTGTCAGGCAACAGCGCCATGGTTGATACTCCCTGGACAAGGCCAATATTTCCTCGGGAGAATGGGTCGGAGCTCCAAGCCAGTGCTCCGGCGTGGAATTATGCTTGACTTGAAGTTCAAGTGTATAAAGAGTTGCTTGTCGTTTATATGACGGCACTATACCAAAGTAATCGTCCATGTCCACAATATTATGACCTTCCAGAATACCGTCCAAAATTGGCTTAAATTTTGGATATCGCTTTGCCACTTCGTTAGCTATCGTGGTTGTAAATCCTGGCAAGAGTTGAGGTTCATCGTTCTCATCCTCTTCCTCATCATCCTCTTCGCTCTCATCCTCATCCTCGTTCGCGTCTTCGTTCTCGTCTTCATCTTGGCCCTGATACAGGCTGCCATCTTGGTCTTCGCTTTCGCCTTCGCCCCCATCTCCTTCTTCATCTCCGCTCTCTTCTGCTGCTGGTCCCTGAAGCCAGTGATAGGCCTCGAGGTTTATGTTGGCCATGTTGTGATGAAAGGCGGCTGCACCAATGCGCCAATTGTCAGAGTATCCAGTTGAGAAAGTGATACGGTTTGATACGAGATCCAATCCTCTCATTTCTTCCGCGACTTGCCTGCATGTGAATTTCAAGGCCTGGTCGATTGGCTGCGTCTTCCCGTCGCCACTGGCAGCCACCAGTTTGCCCGACTCAAAGTTGAAGACATAGCCCCCCTTGACAGTGACATAATGCGCATAGATCCTATTCCGAACCTCCGGTGGGAGGTGAAGGAATGAAAATGTTGAAGACATGATGGATGATGGATGATGGATGACGGATGGTGACGTATTGCTCAGCCGTTCCCTAGATTGATAAATTGCAAAAATGACAGCCTGACAATAAATTGGCCGGCTATTAAATGAATAGAGTGGTGAGGATTTGTGTGTAATATTTGAGGGTGTCGGAGAATTCGAGGGGAGGGAGAAGCTGGGAGAGGTGGGGGGGCAGGCGCTTGTTTATGTAGATTTGTGGGAAGGAGCACCTGGGCAGATGGATGAAATAGAGTTTTGGGAAAATCCCGGAGCTGACTCACGCGGCAGGAGCGAGGGAGTTAGAAATGTGGGGCCAAGGGCAGGAACGAACTGAAGCCTACGGATACAGGTTCCCAGTACTAGGTACCTACCCTACATGAGGTATCTAGATCCGTTTGCGGGCTTCATCACCAGAGACAAGATTTGGATGACTTTTGGAGGGCTTGGAAAGAAGCAATCACAAGTGCAATGGGGGGCCAAGAAATTGGGCGGGGGGTGTCCGCCACTTTATAGAGGTTATATTTATTATCAAGAGGGTCAGTAAAGCTGCAATAGCTAGGTCAGAGGAAGGCTACGCCCCAGCCTTTGGTTCAAAATCCAGAATCAATCCGTAGCCCAACCCGATCGGCCACAGCCGACCAAGTCAAACCTCGAAGATTCAGGCCACAAAGTATGGCCGCTGCTAGAAGAGAAACAGATTAGCCATTTGATGATTTCTTTTTGTCCGTAGCAAAGTATGGGCTACCTGCATCAAGGTTCAAGACCAAACTCAAACTAATTTCAAAGAGACACATCAGTACATGTTGTGTTTCTTTCACGAACAGGATGGGCAAAACGGACGTACATACGTGCGCAAAACGGCCCGAACAACAAGGTTCAAGCACAACGCAACTGCTTAATAGGTATGAAACACCAAACGTCAGCAGCATATCCAACAACCCATACACTTCCGAGGTGTACACATACTTACACTTCAAGCCCCGCGACTTATAGTTCAATGACTCAACCAGACCAGATAGGCCTGCTTCGGAAATCTATTAGTGATGTTGTTTCGAGTTTTCATCGTGCTGTGGCATACTTGCATCCTTCCGTCAGGTTATAAAAGGCAGCAACAATCCTGCTGTAACCCGTTAGCAACTGCCTCATTACTGATGTGCTGGTGGCCGATAATTACCCTGAAGATGAATTGCGCACGCAACACTTTCAAGATCCGCGCAGAGAAAGTTAGAAAGAAGCTGGTCACTATGGAAATCCGAATCGTCATTTACTTACCAAAAGACCGCACAACAAGACAACGCACCCTGGATTGTTCAGCCAAGTTAGCAGTCGCTCCGAATGCGTCTGTAGATAATCTTCTTGCCTAACCACTTCTTCTTGCTGCGCTCAGACAAGGCTGTTAGCAAATTCGCTTCATTACTGTTGTACAGAGGATCAATTAAGGTTTCTGACATTATCCAGGTTAAAGGAACAATTAACACTCACATCAAAAGAGACGACCCTTGCAAAAGCTCCCAACTTAGTACGCGCGTTGGCATATCCACCATATGAATCTATTGAACAACTTACGCAATAGCCGCAACCCGATCGCAACCTGCTTCAAATATAGAATCAGCAGTTAGAAGAAGGATGCGGAAATGGCATAAGCTTACGAACATACAGCAAGATGGCTGAACGAACAACCAAATCCACAATCAACAAGATTGCAGACCTGCAATCGGAAGCTCCAAAGAAGGAAAGACCGAAGCTAGGCGAAGCAAAGCACAAGCTGAACCAGCTGAAGGGCACCAAGAACCCCAAGCTAGGCAAAGGCATCAAGAAGATCATCAAAAGAGCCGACAAAGCAGCCTGAAAAGGTTCGCAAGATGTATACAGCTATGTATACGTGGGCACTTAGACCAGCTGGCTTATTAAAGGCTGCTTGATGCCAGTTAGCAGGAGGAGCATATGACGAGGTCAAGTATAAGGAGTACTTACTTACCACACATGAAGGTTCTTTTGCGACAGGTTCCTTTTAGGCAGTTTATCCTCCGTACCCAGGAGAGCGACAAGACAGTATGGAAATAAATGCAACTCAATTAGTAACTATATGTATCAGTACTACCTAGTACCTCGGTCTGTTATATACATGGGTAGGTAGGGCGAGAAGTAATGCACTGATGGAACAAGGTCGCTTTCACGGCCATCGCACATTGCCTCGGTACGTCGACTCTTTTGCATTCCAGGTTTCTTTTCCATGGCCGTATCAGCCAGTCGGCGACGGCGTGAGCTCGCTTTAGCCGCTGGTTACCTATGTTGATGCTGAATGCCCAATGCCATTCCCCGTCGTGCCGGCCACTTGCATAGCAACCCTCTGCCTTTTCTGAGGCCATGAAGGTGTGTCACTAATACAGGCGGAGGCGCGCTTCACCCCGGGCGATGGCTGCTTAGCACAAGTTCTTGCAGTGCCAGATTCTCGTCCGTTCGGGGCTTTCAAGGATGCACCATCACCGTGAGCCCGAGCACGGTTGTCCGTCGATTTCCTGGCACGGTGTTTTCCTCCTTCTCCTGGCACGAGGTCGTCTTTTTCTCTTCCTAAAGCTTGGCGGCTTGTTGCCAGTCGAATGATTGTCCTCGAGGGGCTAGGCAGCCGATGATGCCGCATTTGGAGGCGGCCATGTTCTACCGTTGGTGCTCGAAGCCTCCGGTTGCGCCGCGTTCCCGTCCCCCCCCCCCCCCGTGACTGTTTCTTTCCGGCATCCCAATTATCCTTGCAGAATTAGGGGATGCCGAATATAGCAAGTGAAAACTTGACGGCCTTGTCGGGATGCTCTTGAAAAATAGAAGAGAAATTATAGTCTTCGTCGCCGACCTCGGAATATAATATTCTTCGGGCCTCCGCTATGCTGTTTCTCCTCTCTTCCCCACCTTCGCAAGACATGAAAAGATGTTGTATAGTATGCGGGCCATCTTCGCAATAAGGACAAGTGGTGGGCTTTTCTTTGTCGAACCGGTTGAGATACGACCGTAAGCCAATATAACCAGTCCTGCAGTGAAGCAGCATGGTACACTCCCTTCGCGTCTTGAGATTGTCGTAGTATTTCAAACTTCTTAGGCTCCAAGATGTCAAGTCTGGCAAATGGATGGGCAGATGGATTACGTTGGAGTGCCCTAGGCCTCGCCGCTTGGATTTCTTGGATGTGCTTTGTGTCGTAGTTTATGGCGTGGTCGGAAATCATGCTCATCTGCAGATATTCCGAGAGACGGAAGATGTGAAGCTCTTTTCGGAGAATGATCCTGGGCGTCCCAGAGCCAGCTTGCCCTTATCCACATTGATATTCCTGTAGACGTTGTGAATGTGCATCATGCCGAATGGCCCATTAAGTGAGAGAGTCGCTAGCATGTTGTTTGCCCGCCACCAACCACTCTGATGCCTCTAGAACTGGTACATGTACCCTTTGACACTAGACCTTGAGTGGGGTACCTGATCGGCATTCCCGCGATTTGGCCCCACCACTCCGATTCTCAACCCACCGCCCATTAGTCTGCTGTGGGGTCTGGTACCTGCATGTAGGTACATGTACAGACAATGGTGGCTTACGCCTCCCGAATTATGGCTGTGCAAGTTCAATGGCCGGACCATCCAACCAAACTCAGAAAGTCCCCAGTGCTGCTTCAGAAAATGTACCAGCATCACATCAGGATCCAGCTGTAAAGTACCTAGGTAGCTTCGCCGCCACGCCATTTCTCAGGTTTCCATTTCTAGCCTGCGAAGGTACATGCAGGCATTGGAGGCTCAGCACGAGCCGGGGCACGCATGACTATTGTTTGGACTACACCAGACGAGTAGAGGGCGGATGCCGCTGCACTGGGTTGCCCTGTGTGGGAACGCATCGGTAGCACAGCTGTTGCTTGACTATGGTGCCGATAGGGAAGCCAAGGATAACAATGAATGGAGGCCAGTAGACATGGCTACCAAGTGCTTCCAAAAGACACCACCCAATTATGTACTGGGGTGGCAAGGGGGGGCAAGTGAATCACTACAAATAGTAAAGTACAACTATTTCTAACCAATGGCATGTCAGAGAGATAGTATGAAAAGTGTGATTAGAAATATATACCAAATTGGTATAAAACTTCTGCTCACTCAAGAGCATAGGCCTTGGGTTGCCAACACCAGGACTCGGCTTGTAATACTATACATTCATGTGGTCAAGAACAATGAAGCCGCTCTGAAGAAACAGTAAACGGTGCATAGCATACTGTATATTCCGGCCAATGCTAACTAAACCTCTTGAAATTTGGCCTCCAGCTTTGTCCTTGCTGAAAAGGGGCAGTAGCCATCAAGGTATCTGTAAAAGCCGAATAACAGGGGACTAAATGTAATTAGTATAAAGAGGGGCTCTTTGCCCGACCAGCCTAGTAGGGAAGTAAGCCAAATCGATCATATATTTCAACAGTCCTAAGCTATGGCAATCTCTACGGCGGACTTTACATAAGCCATAACCCAAGCCGGGAACTGCGGGCTGCAAATCCGCAGCTCCACTTCTCTCCGCAACAAGATACTCGAGAGCTCAAGGCTTCAAGCACGCCCAACAGCGCAAATCGCTCGAAAAGATGTACTTTGTTGTGACCATCGGAAAATTTCGTCACATATCTGTTCAGGATTTCCAATTTTGGACCCCTTATTATTAATCTAGAGAGATTATAAATGATGATTTACAACCCGTTACGCCAGCTCTTCATCAAACTCTTCACTTAGTAACCCATACATCGTGACTCAAGAGTTATAAAGGATTTATGGAGTAAACATGGCCATATAGTCTCCATGAAGCTAAAGAAGGTGGAATATAAATATACGATTCTCAGAGCAATGGAACTTGAACCGTTCAGCGGCTTTACATCTTAGAGAAGAAAAACATAACTAGAGGCGAAACAAGCGCAGATCCTTTCCTCCAGACACCCCAAGTCATCATGGCCGACCAAAAACTTATCGTGGTTCTCGGTGCGACTGGAAATCAAGG